CCTCCTCTTCGGCCCGTGCCTGTGGACGAGTCACGTGGTCGGTCGCTCGCTAACCGACTGCTCGTCCTCCGTGTCGTTTCCGCAGGACTCCCTCGACAGTGTGGGCGACGTGGAGGGCCACGTGATCACGAGTCTCGTCGCCATGGTGATGAAGATGTCGGAGGTCACCTTCAGGCCGCTCTTCTTCAAGGTCGGCACGGACGGCGCACGGCGGCGGCGGCGGTCACAACATTGGTTTAGTAGTTTTTACCTCTGAAAAAGTAAAATCGTGTTTTATATTTTTTTATCTGCGACTGGATTCAGTTTCCGTGCACGTGCCTCCATCAGCTGTCAGTATCGGTGGATGATCTGTGCCTCCTCTAGATCGACTCGGCCTAAAACACATTCGTGCTCATGGTATCTCATCGTCACCCAAGGGTAGATAAAACGATGACAGCAGGGACCCTGGTGGTGCTATGGTTGTATCAGTGCTCGCTTTACAGCGTGTAAAGCGAGCACTTAACAGGACTAATGAAGGCGATGTGTCTGCCTACCTGTCAGCGTGTCTTACCTGTCTCCATGCACGCCTACCTTCCGACGCCCGTACAAGCCTCTCGACCTCTGTGCCTGTCTGCCTTGCCCGCGCCTGTGTATGTGCCTGCGTGCCTGTCTGCCCACCTATGTGCCGTTTCTTGATCCTCTGTCTTGTGTTCCTCTCTGCCTCCCTCCTCTGCCCGCGTGCGTGTCCCTGCCCGCGTGCGTGTCCCTGCCCGCGTGCGTTCGTTGCCCACGTGCGTGGCAGCTGTTCGACTGGGCGAGTGGGGAGGACCGCCCGAGCGAGCGCTTGCTCACCTTCTACCGCATGTCGGAGCGCGTCGCCGAGCGCCTCCGTGGCCTCTTCGTGCTCTTCGCCGGCCACCTCGTCAAGCCGTGCGCGCACCTCCTCAACCGCCTCAACGTGGCCCTGCCCGGTAACCGCCACACCGTGCAGCCACTTGGTCAAAAACTACAGCCACTTGAATCGGATCCGTCGTCGCTGCCGTAGTCACTGCGCATGTCGTGGTCACCAACGTGGACGTCATCGTCATCTCGAGCATTGACATCGTCGTCGACATCGATATCATTGTCGTGTCGTTGTGCCGTGAGAAGTCTCAAGTTAAATCTGCCCGAGTCGACTTGTGTTACAGGGAAATAATGTTTTATGTTTGTCAAATGTTTTTGAGATTTCTAATTGCTTCCTTGCTGCACCTTATTTAATTCGTTTAGCATTTTGGTAACCTCACTGCCTTGCTGACCTTTGACCCCTACTCCCGCTTCCGCCCCCCAACACAGATGAGAAGGCGGTGTTTGGCCACGTTGGTGATGAAGCGGCGGACGAGAGGAACCAGCTGCTGCTGCAGCTGGTGCTCGACTGCCTGCACAAGGTGTTCCTGTACGACACACAGCGCTTCCTGACGGAGGAGCGCGTCCACACGCTGCTGCTGCCGCTCGTCGACCAGGTGAGTGGCGGGTGGAGTGGTTCAGGCAGTGGAAGGCGGCAGATATAATGTATTATTATAATATAATGTATTATAATATAATGTATTATGATAATACATCATTAGTATGTATTCATGTAGTATTATGTAGATAGGACAGAGAGAGGGACGAAACTGAGAAATGTTTCCTTGAGTTTGATTTTCGTGTTTTTTATTAGTCTTTGTGCATAAATACATTGTATCTGTAATTTAAAGTAAAGTTTATTTTTGTTTGTTTGTATACGGTGGTGCCTTTCTGGATAACATTTTCCACTCAAAGCGCCATCGGATTAACACTCAACATAAAATGAAAAACATAAACAATGAGCAAAATATATATTTTATGTGTATGTGTAGTACATAGTCTAGCTACAAAAGTCAAATCTGTCAATAACCAGAAACTAGATTCAAACCAGAAACTGTACGCATCAAACAACACGCCAGCACACGTGTGTACAAGCACACGTGTGTACAAGCACTCGGCCTTTGTGCATTATGCAGTTGCCGCCAGCGTTTCTTGAAGTGAATTTTGATCCTTTTGTCGTAGATCATTGACGTGAAGGTGATGATTCATGTTCCCGCGTGTCTGCATGCTCTGTGCGTCCGTGCGTCTGTACGTGTGCACGTGTCGCTGGCCGTGCGTACGCAGCTGGAGAACACGCTGGGCGGTGACGACGTCTACCAGCAGAGGGTCGCGTGCCACCTCGTGCCGTGCATCGCGCAGTTCGCCGTGGCCATGGGCGACGACACGCTGTGGAAGCCGCTCAACTACCAGATCCTGCTCAAGACTCGCCACACCTCGCCCAAGGTGCCTCGTCGTCACCTTCGTCGTCATCGTCGCCCATGGCCAATCTACTGATAGATGATGGCCCTTGCTCGGCGAGCCGTCTCTCGCGCTCCCACGATTCGGCGATCCAACCACTAGGCCTCGTTATCTTCTTATTCTTCTTGTATATCTTCTTATTATTTTATTAGTTCCCTTCCACGTGACTTTACCGAAAGAACCAAGAAGATGAATCCCTGCAGTCACGAAAGCTTTAAATTGAACTTTACTCGTTATCTTCGTCGTCAGCGTCGCGATGACGCGCGGTGCGCTGACACGTGGCCTCTCGTCGTTGCGTGCGCAGGTCCGCTTCGCATCGCTGCTCGTGCTGCTGGAGTTCGCGACGCGGCTGCGCGAGAACTTCACGGTGCTGCTCCCCGAGACGATCCCCTTCCTCGCCGAGCTCATGGAAGGTGCGTCACCTTGCCAGGCTCCGCTTGGGCCCGGCGCCCACCTTTGGTGGCACCGTGGACACTGTGCGCAGAACACGCTCACAAACTCAAACGGAGATGAGTTACAAGTCTGGGGGGATGTGGGGGGGTGGGGGGTAGAGGGCAAGCAGTGTGACGATCATTGCCTCCCGTTGTTTTGTCCCCACAGACGAGTGCGAAGAGGTGGAGAAGCAGTGTCAGAAGACGGTGCGCGAGCTGGAGGTCATCCTGGGGGAGTCGCTGCAGAGCTATTTCTGAGCCCCCCCACCGCCCTTCACACCTCCCACCGCCACCATCATCCGGGTCTCGTCCGGCACGCGACACTCCTGGTGGATCGTTCCGTGCGACGGGGCCCAGCCCTGCAGCCGGCGCCCGGATTGGGACAGAACCACGGAGAGAATGGGGACCGTGCCGGGAGATGGGCTGTGGGACGGGATGGGCATCGACGCTCGGCCGGATGAAGAGTTTCGATGCCGTCGCTGGGCCGTATGTGGGTCGTTAACCAGAGTCTCTATTTATTTGGTTTTTTTTTTTAATATAGTTTTTAAACACCATTTGCCTTTTACCAGATTTCGTGGCGATAGGGGCTTGTACGTAACCCCTTGCCGCAGCCACCAGAGGCCGCTGCGTTCGCGCGATGCCGATAGCGAAATCGGAATAAAAAATGAAGTGAAAAAAGTTTATGAACTCCCTCCACTCACATTGAGTAACGATGACGGTAACAGTGAAGATAACGACGAGTCGATGCCCGTACACACATCAGGGAAACGCGAGAAGGCTGTGCGAATGTTTGTACTGGTTTTGAGTGGGGGTACATTTCAAATAAAGGATGTACCCATTCTGTTTAATCTTTGTCATTCATTTGTCCCCAACTCTAAAATACACACTTGCTGACCACGGTGGTCCAATGTTCAGCAGCACACTGGACTTGCAGTGCTGAGATCTCAGATGTGACATTTGAAACAATGGAGCAAGTTTATTCAACCCCACGACCCCGACACCTGCCTGACCACGCCTCTCCACTGGGCAGAATGTTGCGTGTGGTGGGGTAAAGTGTGGATCCTCTCACCTTACAAGACGTCGTGGAAGAGTAGGCCACAGTACATCCTGGAAGGGGCCTCTCTTCAACTTGTCCCCCTAGCAACTTTTAAATCGTCTAGATTGGCAGCTCATTTCTTTAGAACTGCTTTTTGTTTTTAGTTCGCCGCCCTTCCCCCGCACCTCCGATTAACATGGTTGGTTACGTACGGAGCGAAAGAAGTTCTACGTGCACGCATAGTGGAGGCTCCTGCCAGCAGTGTCGCGAGCAGGAAATTGCAGGGCTGCACCTTTACCTCTTTAGCCCTGCGGAAATTACAATGGAGCTAATACTGGACGCGGACTGGAGCTCCAGTGACGAACACGGTTGTAGGTTACGGTGCCAAGTTCGGTGGCGCTGTGCGGTGGTGTCTGGCTCAGAATCAAGGGGACTTTTCACGTATTTTTTTAAAATTTGTATTTGCTTCCAATTAAAAATATTGTTTCCAAACGTTCCCGTTCGTGCGTTAATGCGGCGTCCGAGAGCGGAGCTTTTTTGTCGGTTGCGGGGGTCGTTAATGATCTCGTGGTCATCAAGCCAGACCACGTTCGCACGGCATACAATAACGAGAAGCTGCTTACAAAGCGAGCTACGGGTCACTCGGCATCGTCAGCCGCGGTCAATCCACTGTTGGAACCAAGACCGCCGCCACCTCTCACGGTCCGCACGATCCATCCGTCGCTCCGCCTCCACGCGAGCCGATTGCTCCGTCTCCGCGTAGCGCGTCCTCCCCACGGCGCACGCCGTCTTCGTTGGCTGCCAACTCCCCTGTGCATCTCGACCACTGGAGCCGTCGTCCCTCACTCGCCACGTGTCGCCGGCCACGTGGTAGTTGGATGCCAAAATTATTGTCCATAACTCCTAACCCCTCGGTGGGGCCGTGCAAGCCAACGATGTCGTGAGATGATGGATTGGTATTGATGATGGATTGCTGATACTAATGCTGCTGCTGCTGCTGATGATGGGGAGGAGGAGGGACGAGGGGATATTTGGGGGGCGGGTGGCGGATGGTGGCGCGCCCACTCGCTGCGTATAAAACCGTGCACGGGGTGCTCGCTCGGGTTCTCTCCGCGTGCTCTTTCCCCTCCCCGTGCTCGCCCCCTCTCTGCGCGTGCTCTGTCTTCTCTCCGCGTGCTCTTTCCTCTCCGCGTGCTCTCCCCCTTTCTCCGCGTGCTCCCCCCCCCCTCTCTCCGCGTGCTCTCCCTTCTCTCTCCGCGTGCTCTGCATTCTCTCCGCGTGCTCACTATTCTCTCTGCGTGCTCTCTCCTCTCTGCTTGCTTCTCTCTGTGCGCTCTCCCTTCTTTCCGCGCGCCCTCCCTTCTCTCTCTGTGTGTGCGCGCCCTGTGGGCTCCACTCTCTGGCTGTCCTATCTACTGTGGCCTCTGCTCCCCGTGTGCTCTCTCCTGCGACGACTCTCTTCTCCCTCTGCGCTGTGCCCTCTCATCTCTCCCCGTGTGCGCTTGCCGTGTCCTCTCTGTGCCGGCTCCGGCCTCTTGCCGCCTGTCACTCACAGGATCCCCGGACCGTGGCTGTGATTGAGCCACTGTTTGACGCCGCTCCCCTGCCCCCTACCCTTTACTCGGCCTTGCCCTTCGTCTCCCCTTGCCCTGCCCTTCCACCCTGCTCGTGCCCGACTACAACCGTGAGTCCTTCAAGGGCAGCGACTGGAAGCTCCCGTGTTGACTTTTCACCGACGGCGGCCCGGTGTGGGGTGGGGGGCAGGCACGGAGAGGTGAGTGCAGGGAGACACGTGACACGTTCGTCGTAGGCGGTGACCAAATCCACTGCTGGATGAATGACGGGTGAGCCAGCCTCTGTCGCGTGGTCAGAACGTGCGGCTCCCAACCGCGACGCTCACGAGCGCGTCTCGGTCGGTGTCACGGGTCCCTTCTGCTGGGAAGTTGCTGGGGTCGCGGCGCGAGTGGCCAGCCGAGCCTGCAAACGACCGCTCTACCGGTCTCATCACCACCACCAACCACCTGGCTGAGGGCTTCGCCTTGGTCACAGAACTCCTGGGTGGCTCCCCCCCCCCCACCCCCTATCCCTCACCCAAGTGCCTGCGCTCCTCCATTCCACCACAGCCTCATCTCTGGGGTGGTTCATCCCACGAGTGCTTTCCTCCTGTTCGCGTTCTCAGTCCACAACCTCCACATCGCTCGGCCGATCTTTTTCGAGCCTGCTTGTGCACGTGCCCCATCCCAGCGCGGCGGCCTCCTCCCCTCGTGATGACGACGCTTTCCCTGCCGCGCTCCACAGAACGGTGTCTCCGAACTTGCACCACGTCGCTTCTTACCCAACCGCGCTCCATTCATCTGCGATGCGCGCGAATTCAAACGCCACACGCTGATTTTCTACCCAGCTCTCTCTGTGTATGGGTGGGTGTGTGTGTGGGTGTGTGGGTGCGTAAACAAGCATCTGTCCGAACGTGCACGTGGAGAGCGGTTTGGGAAGTGGTTTGCGCGCTTCGCACTTCACTCGGCTACTCTGGGTTCGATTCCTCGGCCACGGCTTGACACGAGCAGCCAGCGTCGTTAGAACGCAACATGGGACTCTCCTAGGTCGACTCAGCCTTAAATGGGTAGCCGGTGGTGCCGTGTGCAAGGCTATGCGGGGGATATTTATCGCTGCATGGACATGGGATTATTTATATCGCCGGACCGTGAGAGATGTATGCAGCAGTGGATTTAGTATGTCCGATGGTGATGATGGTGGTATATCCACGCGTGTGTGTTTTTTCACGCCGGCAGATCTCGCAGACTCACCATGAAGAGGCGCTATGATCGACTCCATCGTTAAGAGGAGCCGCCGCCATCGTCGTCTTCCACATCTTCACTGTCAAGAGGAGCTGCACGAGTTCCGTGCGAAATGACGTGGCCTCGCTCCCCTCTCTTCCTCCTCCTCATCTCGTCCATCTCCCTGCTCCTCGCCGAAACCTCGTCTGACCCGTCTCGTCCTCGAAACAGAGACTCGGGGAGCAGAGACAAAGACTCGGACGTCAGGTCGCTGATGGGCGGCTCGGAGATGAGTTATAAAGACGAGGAGATCAGACCAGACATCAGAGACGCAGACTCAGAAGCCGCGGACAGACACTCGGAGATCAGACACAGAGACTCGGATATCAGAGACGCGGACTCGGATATCAGATTAGAGATCAGAGATCAAGAATCGCGGATCAGACACAGAGACCCGGATATCAGATCAGAGATCAGGGATAAAGACTCACGGATCAGACACAGGGACTCGAGGAGCAGAGGCATTGATGAAGACATCACCAGCAGCGGCCGGACCTTCTTCCCGCAGGGAGCAATTCCTCCACCGGGGAAGGGCCGCTCCAACATCTCATCATCCCACGGCCACGTGGCACGACACCACCACCACCACCAACAACAACAACAACAGATGCTGGCACACGGGCTTCCAGGAGGACCTTCGGTCCACGACCGAGACGCTGAGCGCCAGGTGCTGGCCTCCAGCCACGAGGCGCTGTTCGTGACGGAGCGGCGCTACCTGCGCCGAGATTGGTGCAAGTCGCAGCCGCTGCGGCAGACGGTCCGCGAGCGCGGCTGCGTGCCTCGCACGGTCATCAACCGCTTCTGCTACGGGCAGTGCAACTCGTTCTATATCCCGCGCAGGGCCACGGCTGACGACGACGATGAGGGCGGTGAGGGCGGTGAGGGTGAAGGTGATGATCGTGGTGGTGGTGATGAAGGTGGTGATGATGACGAGGTGCTGGGAGCTCCGAGCGACAGTAAAGACTTGCACGGTACGTGGGTTGATTTCGTATCGTAGCATTCGGGAGTGGTTGCAGCCAAGGGTTGATTACAGCCGGAGCTGTTTGTCCGGGGCTGAGCTCCGGAAAATATTACCCAAAAATAAATCGTACAGTACTTATCATGACCCCGCCCCACCCCCCATACATGCCTACCGGTTGCGTCTACCGAATCTGATATCCTCTCTGCGTCTGCCCAGCGTTGATTCGCCGTGCGATGTTTACCGGGACCAGGGTAATTGGATGTTTTGTAGTAGAGTGGTGGCGCAGCGGTTAGCGCTCTGTGCTCTATATCCGCTGACCCGAGTTCGATTCCCGGCCGTGGCTAACACCAGCTGCGAGTAATATCCGAGCCCGTTCTGGGAGACCCTCCACCTACCCCCCCCCCCCCTTTCAGCAACCCGCACTGACCAACAAGGTGAAGTATGGTCAACAACAGCGCGGCTTGCGTCTTCATCGATCGCGACTAAAACGGAACCGAAACTAAAAGCGTGCACGAAGAGGCACCGTGCCCCCTGATGCACGCTCGGGATCGCACCGCGCGGCCACGTGACCCAGGCGCGGAGGTTCGCGGTTCGAAATCCGAGCGGTCGCCCTGGTTAACACCGCGGGAGTCTTGACAATGGACGTTCACGATCCCGTGACGCCATTCGCAGGAGTAGGCCATTGTGTGCCGACGTTTGGATTTGCGAAAATGTGACAGAAACCCCGTCCCCCCCCTTGTAAACAACTTCATTGAGATTACACAGCAGCGGCTGTAATCGTCGCTGTGAAAACTTGGCAGTGCCCTCCTGAAAAGAAACAAGTCAATGAGACTCATTGAGGCTGTCCTCGATAATCCAGCGTATTCGTAATCAGAACACCGAGATAGGCATTATGATCATGATGGTAATGGTTGTCTCCCTTACGCCCAGGAGGAGGAGGAGGTGGTGGTGATGACGAAGGAATCGCAGAAGCGGCAGCTGCAGCAGGAGCAGGAGGAGCCCAAGGAAGGACAGCAAGAAAATCATCATCATCAGCAGCAACAGCAGGAACATCAACATCAGCAGGGTCCAGAGTAAGGTCGTCATCAGCAGCAGGAGGAAAAGGAGCAGCAGCAGCAGCAGCAAGGGGGAGATCTTCCTCCTCCTCATCATCATCATCGGGGGGTGCAGGAGGGCGAGGCAGAGCGGGCTCGGCCCGGCGCGGCGCAGCCTCGTTCCGCGCGTGCGCCGCGTGCCGCCCGCAGCGCTTCTCGTCGCTCACCGTGGAGCTCAGCTGCCCGGGCCTGGAGCCGCCCGTGCGCCGCGTGCGGCTCAGCAGAGTGAAGCACTGCCGCTGCGTGTCCGTGCGCGTGCACGACTGAGCGCGCGACACCCACCCCGTTCACCGCACCCCCCCCCCCCCACGTGTGTCCGTGCGCGTGCACGACTGAGCGCGCGACACCCCACCCCATCCACCGCTCCCCCCCCCCCCCACGTGTGTCCGTGCGCGTGCACGACTGAGCGCGCGACACCCCACCCCATCCACCGCTCCCCCCCACGTGTGTCCGTGCGCGTGCACGACTGAGCGCGCGACACCCCGCCCCCACCCCCGTGTGTCCGTGCACGTGGCAACCCCCCCCCCCCAATTCTGCCCCCCCCCGCAAACCCTCCTCCCATGCCCCTCACGAGCACACGCGTGCGCGACTCGAGAACAACTCAACGCCACCACTGTGCGCCTCACGGTAGACATCGGACGGTGAGGATGGGGAGCTGAACTTGGTGGTGGTGGTGGTGGTCGTCGTGAAGTTGGCATCCGGAGGTCGACGTTGGACATCAGAAGGTGGGCAATCAGTAAGATGTGGAGCTTGGCTTGGTGGTGCTGGAGGTGGTGATGAGCCTGCAAGACCGAACCGTGGAGGTCAGGTGTTCACGTTGGAACAGCTGCGGGGGGAGCAGGCAGAAGGAAGGAAGCGATGGCGCTGCGTGGCGCCATCAACGGCGTTGGCCGCTGTGGTGCCACAATATGAACGACCATTAACTCATCGTCCCTGTGGGGCCGATAAATTACGGGAGCGTCACTTTGCGGAAATTCAACATGAGTGGTATACTATGCACAGACTGACCCCCGGCACGGGAACGTGGAATTCCCACCACTGACTCAAGACGGCCAATCGAGCTGAGCCGCCGCCCGCATTGCTCGTACGATCAGAGACGCTCTTCCACCCTTGACTTTCAGTCACGGAAACACCCAACGACATCGACACCATCTCACTCCTACACCGGACTCGAACCCGGGTCGCTTGGTCAAACATCGGTCGACCGGGGCGGTCGCTCTGCCCGCGATGGAACTCGGATCAGTCTTGGTTCCATAATGGCCAACAGCGGGTCGCAATGGCCGACTTTGGGGGGGGGGGCAAGAGCGTAGGGGGCTCGGTGCTGCACGTGGTGCGCGTGTTTTTGGCTACTGTAAAGGTAAAGGCGCGGCCCTGCAATGACGTGCTTATAACGCACGCTGCGTCAGGTGGGCCAGATAATAGCCAGATCGCGGCGGGGGCCCCTGGCCCCCCCCCCCCAGGATTTGAATGATTTCCCATGTCCATTTCTCCCCACCCCCACCACCTCTGTGGCCCGGCTTCTGGGCCACTCCCGCCTCTGGGCCTCGGTGCAGTTGCACTGCCTGCGCACTCAATGACTACGGGGTCTCCATGTGAGTCTCGGGTCACATGCTAGCCTACGGGTCTCAATTCTAACCTATGGGTTTCAATGTGAATCTGAGGGTATCAATGTCAGTCTGGGTCTCCATGCTAACCTGTGGGTTTCCATGTGAATCTGAGGGTATCAATGTCAGTCTGGGTCTCCATGCTAACCTGTGGGTTTCCATGTGAATCTGAGGGTATCAATGTCAGTCTGGGTCTCCATGCTAACCTGTGGGTTTCCATGTGAATCTGAGGGTATCAATGTCAGTCTGGGTCTCCATGCTAACCTGTGGGTTTCCATGTGAATCTGAGGGTATCAATGTCAGTCTGGGTCTCCATGCTAACCTGTGGGTTTCCATGTGAATCTGAGGGTATCAATGCAATGTCAGTCTGGGTGCTCCATGCTAACCTGTGGGTTTCCATGTGAATCTGAGGGTATCAATGTCAGTCCTGGGTCTCCATGCTAACCTGTGGGTTTCCATGTGGAATCTGAGGGTATCAATGTCAGTCTGGGTCTCCATGCTAACCTGTGGGTTTCCATGTGAATCTGAGGGTATCAATGTCAGTCTGGGTCTCCATGCTAACCTGTGGGGTTCCATGTGAGTCTAGCATCTCCATGCCAGTCTATGGGTTTCCATGTGAGTCTGTGGGTCTCCACGTGATTTTATGGGTCTCCATGTTGGCCTATGGGTTTCCATGTGAGTCTGTGGGTCTCCACGTGATTTTATGGGTCTCCATGTTGGCCTATGGGTTTCCATGTGAGTCTGTGGGTCTCCATGCGAGTCTATGGATCTCAATGGCATAGCGTGGTTGGCATTGAACCCAGGTGCAGTTACACCGCAGTTGCACCGCCTACACACTCGACAGCTACACCACGGGCCAAGCTATAGACGTGCTTGCTAAATTAATACCCTTAATGGGGGGCCCAATGTTTAACTGCCCCCCGCCCCTCCAATCCAAATCTTCTAAGTCGTCCCCTTGCGCGTGCGTAACACGCCTGTGAGCTCTGAGCATAGTTTTATTTTTCTTATGTTTAAACATAAATTGTATAACAAAGTGCGTTATATATGTGTGTGTGCTATAGGATATAAAGTTGATCGATCTACATGAGCAGTGCGTTTTCTGTTTCTACGACAAAATAACTTTATTGGTGGAATCACATTCCTCGTCACCACCATCATCATCACCACCACCACCACCACGAGAAGTGGTCTATCCCACTCACTCTGCTGGATTAAGGCCTTACCCACGCCGTCACCAACCCTCCGGGTCCCGCAATGCCACAATCCCACGTCCCTCACTCCCGCACACGAGTCGAACTTCTCATCGCATCCATCTACACAGTGGTCGTCTTGCATGTCGAACTTCTTTCGCACCGCACGTAGCCAACCGTGCTCATCGGAGGGTGCGTCCTGTCGGGCGCATTCACTGCATCGGCTGCCGCTCCCCGACACCCGCCACTTCTCGTCCATGGGGCAATCGTCTCTTCGGCCCGTTACGACGTCCCCTGGCTCAAGCACTCTGACCTTTTTACGAACGGTCGACGTGACGTGTGTTCTCGAATCCACGCGTTCCTCGCCGCGTCTCCGAGTTGTGAATCTAAGTTCGCGTCTCGCCATGCGTCCGCAACACTCGCGAATCATCTGCAACGAGTCGTGCATCCAAATTCCTTCCCGGTCAACTTTCCAACGTCGGACCAACGTTGGAATGTGGTTGGGACCGGTGGACCAACGTTGGCCCAACGTTCCACGTTTACTGGGTTTAGAACTCGGGAGTGTTTGCCTGCCAGTCATACATTTGCGCTATGATCCAGGCCACATGGATCCCGGGTCACAACGAGCCAACATCAGCGGTATTAGTGGGATCTGCACCGATGCTCGGCCCGCTCTCACTGGCGGAGCCAGTGGTGGGGGGGGGGGGGGGCACGTGCCCCCCTAATGATCCGTCTAAAACCCTAATTTCGATCGGATCATTGGGGTTTAATGGTAATAAATCGGCATTTTGCGACCCCCACTGCCACTGTGTAGCATACTATTACATGCCAGGGACTCTATGAGATGATAGGACAATAGTCTGAGTCTATAATTGGCAATAAGTAACGGCAAAGCAGTTATAAGTGACTCAGAATTGTGCGCAGTTGCGTAAACAGTACACGACTTCCCTGAAGGCATCAACACCTTCAGCGAGAGCGATGCCGATCACACGACGCGGTTCGAATTCGACCCTCGATCGACGGCTGCGCCATCGCCGCACACGCGTCGAATAAAAAGCAAGGGACAACTCCTCTATCACTTTTCATTGCTGGAGGGGTTGCCCCCCCGTACCTGAAAATCCTGGCTCCGCAATTGCCTACTCTAGGTCGAATCAGCCTTAAACGAGAACCTGCTTCGGTGCGTAAACATCGCCACTGGCGAGACAAAGACGGTCGGGCGTCAGTGCGTGGTTCTGGACACCCACCCCCTGGTGTGCCGTGCCGGCCTCAATAGGCGCTCGCTAACAGCACTTGCCCCAACAGTCTGTGTAAGCAATACCAGTGGGAAATATCTGAACCGGTTCTGGACCTCCCCTAGGTCGACACAACCTTCACCGAGCATCCGTCGCGGTGTGTAAACATCAGTACGGGGAGACTAAAGGTCAACCGGGCTTGGTTTTGGCCACAAAACCCCCGTGCCGGACTTAATAGGCGCTCGCTAACAACAGCAACTTGCTCCCAAACAGTCTGCCGGTGGATCTTTGTCCTTGTGCTCGTGAGTGTGGTCACGTGCCCCACGGCGATCCATTACGGGTTTCGCAAATTGCTCGGCCACACGCGGCCTCAGATGAAATTTGCTCCCCCCCCCCCACCCCCGAAAGTGAGCGTGCTTGGTCTGTGACACCAACCCGTGGCCCACTCGAACGCGTTCGGCCCAACTTGATGCGAGCTGGCGCTTGAGACCAGCCGGAAGAGATCGCTACAGCTCGCCATGGGCTTTCTTCCTTCCCTCTGCCAGATCGGCGATTGAAATAAATTTCGAAAAAAGTGTGCGTGTGTGTGCGCTCGTCGTGTGCAGTGGGGAGCGATAGTGTAGCGGTTAGCGCGCTGCGCTATGAACCCGGCGACCCGAGTTCGATTCCCGCTCACGGCCAACACCGGTGACGATTATCTGAACCGGTCCTGGGCCTCCACTAGGTAGACTCAGCCTCAAACGAGTACCTGGTGCGGTGTGTAAACATCACCACTAGGGAGACAAAGGCGGTCGGGCGTGGTGCTGGCCACCCACCCCCTCGTGTACCGTTGCGGCCTTCATAGGTGCTCGCTAACAGCACTTGCCCCTACAGTCTGTTAAGGCTATATGGGGGATCTTTGTCGTGTGCAGTGCTGGCGGCATTCATAGGTGCTCGCTAACAGCACTTGCCCCGACAGGTTTGTGGAGGCTAAACGTGGGACGTTGGTCTTTGGTACCACGTAACGTTTTGAACAATCATCAGGCACGTGAAGCTAGTCGTAGTTTCAAAGGAGGTTAGGTAAATGTGGAGTGGAGCGGTGGGACAGTGGTGAGTGCACTGCGCTACGAACCAAGCGACCCGAGTTCGATTCCCCGGCATGGATAAACCCCGACCGCCTGCTGTGTATTTGGAGTCTGAATGTTTCTCCCCGTGGTCGTGTGGATTTCTCTGCAGGTCCTTCGATTTTTCCATTCCACATGCAGTAAACATGCGTTGAAGATCAAAATTAATAAAAAATAAAATAAAGATCACGACGTTTCGGAGGCAACACAAGTCTCCGTCATCAGGTGGGACCGTCACAGCCAGATTAGCTGCATCAAGTGAGGCAATGATTCAAGATGTAATCCCTTAAAAGCGAGTTACATCTTGAATCATTGCCTCACTTGATGCAGCTAATCTGGCTGTGACGGTCCCACCTGATGACGGAGACTTGTGTTGCCTCCGAAACGTCGTGATCTTTATTTTATTTTTATTAATTTTGATGTTTTACCTACGTGACTTTACCGAAAAAACCTAAGAATATGAATCCTTGCAGTCACGAAAGCTTCAAATCTAGAATGCGTTGAAGAGTATTTGACCGCTAGAAATGTCCACCTGATAAGCCATTTCGATGAGCGGTCATTTGCGGCCAAGCTGGTGGGCCCTTACCCGGCAAAATAAAATACAATTTACACCATTGGAACCTCATTTGCCAGTAGAAATATGATAATTGTTTTTTTACCCTTCTATCTGGCAACAAAACTGCCACCTTTTTTACAAGGAGTCATGTTTGCATTGACCACAATACCTGCAGTCGTAATGCAAACAAAAAACACAACTCTGATAATATATGTACTGTCCTTGAAGTTGATTGGTCCACACCCGAGACAGCTTTCCTTAGAGCCTAGTCTCACATGGTGTGGACCAATCAACTTCAAGGACAGTGCACATTATCAGAGTTATGTTTTTTGTTTGCATTACGACTGCAGGTATTGTGGTCTATGTAAACATGACTCCTTGTAAAAAAATGTGTCAGTTTTGTTGCCAGATAGAAGGGTTAAAAACCAATTATTAAAATACAATTGTTGAGTTTAAAATGCATTAGTGATCCGGACTCAAGACCATCACGTTGCCACAGTCGAGGACCCGGTTTGACCACGCGGCTGACACCCGGATTTGAACCCGGGCAAGTCGGCCACCCCGGGCAGGTTTATTGAGCACGATCGCAGCATTGCACACACAGCACACGAATTAACACGTGGGCCAGCGGCTCGTGTAGACGCGCCCACAATACACCCCCGAATATCGCGTGAGAATGTTGTCTGTGTGCGTGCGCGTGCGTGCGTGCGCGTTAGTTGGGTTGCGTGCGTGTCTGTGTTCATGTGCCTAACTGAGCGTGTCTACGTCGATATGCCCCTAAACAGTCTGTGACGGCTATACACGGGGGTCTTTTTCTGTTACCTTCGTACAGTATCTGTATACGTGTGTCTGTTTGTCCGTGTCCGTGTGTAGGAGTCTGCGTGTTTACATGTATACCCGCTTCTATGTGTGCGTATTTGTGCTTCTGTCTGCCTATAGATCTGTTGAGATGCGTGCGTGCGTCCGTGCGTCTGTCTATAAATCTGTTTCTCAGTGCGCGTCTGTGTCAGTGTGTCAGTCTCGTCGCCGTCAGATCGTGCGTCTGTCTGTCCTGTGTCTGTCCGTCCGTCTCTCTGCCTGGCCGTCCCTGTGCAAAACAAAAAAATAACAACCAACATCGACAACAAATCCCTCGGATGTCGCCGTCGTCTCTGCTGGCAGCGTCCCGCAGACACCCGCGCGTCGCTTCCTATTTCGCGCGGCACGAGAAGAAGCGCGGTCGTTTGCCGAACGTGAACTCTTTTTTAAAAAACCGTACTGATTAAAAAGCTTATTTGGGTAATCCTAGCAACAACAGCCGCGACGCCGTCACTGGCACCTGAGCCGGTTTAAAAGTGAACGTTAAATGAGGCGCAGTAGCTTTAGCACAACAACAACGACAACAACAACAACAACAAAAACTACCGCGCGAGCCGCATCGGTGACGCCTCCATCAGCCGAGTTCCTGACTTCTCCACCCACCCCGCCCGTTGGTGGTTGTTGTTGTTGTTGCGTTCTCCCTAGGAAGCACGATTTTGATTGTAAAGCTGTCGTCGCGAGAAGGGGTCAGTGCGTGCGACGAGGTGAATGGTGACGAGGTGAGCATGAGGGCGAGGAGGAATGAGGTGGCGGATGAGGAGCAGGAGGTAGCGTGTGACCGTCGGTGATTAGGCAGCACTTGCAGAATGAACATAACTGAGGTGATGATGATGATGATGACGATGACGACGTGATACTTAACGATTCAGACGATGAGATGACATTAGGAGAGGTTGTTGATGAGGATGATACTTGGACAGTGACGAAGATAACGATGGTACCAAGTGGACGTGATGATGATGGTATCAATGATGATGACTTAATTATAGTTATCATCACGAGGTCACGAGAAGCGTTAGTCATCATTGACCATGACGATGAAGATTCGTAATGGGGAGTGGACGATGAGGTGGAGGTAGCTGACGGAGGAGCAGGAGGGACGATGCCAACGCTCTCTCCGCTGCCGCACGTTCATGCCTCCGATATCGACGAGGTCGCCTTGAGTCGCAGCCGTGCTTTCTACAACGCGAACAGGGGGGAGAGGTGAATCAACATCGTTACCCACTCACCTCATCATCATCATCATCATCCCCCTCACCCACCTCATCATCCACCTCACCCATCTCACCCACCTAATCATTCACCTCACCTACATCCTCATCATCCACGTCACCAACCTCATTATCATCATCAACATCCAGCTCACTCACTTCATCCACCCACCTCATCCACATCATTGTCTACATCACATCAACATAGCCAATGACGAGGTGTTATTGCTGAGAAAGGCAATGTTTGTCAAGCACACACCAGCCGCCATTGGTTGCTGTGACGTCACCACGGCACTTGTGCCAGGCTAGGTGCACTTTGAGGCCACTTGAAGTCACCTTCTGCCAGGCTAGGTGCCATGGGTCAACAGACACAAAAAAGTTCCCTGTGTAGCCTTAACAGGCTGTTGGGGCAAGTGCTGTTAGCAAGTAGCATCTACGAAGGTCGGCACGGCACTAAAAAGGGGTGGGTGGCCAGCACCACGCCCGGCCGTCTTTGTCTCCCACGTGGCAATGTTTACACACGGCACCAGGTACTCATTTGAGGCCGAGTCGACCTAGGAGAGGCCCGGGGCGGGTTCAAATAATCATCACTGCTGCTGCTGACCACGAGTGGGAATCGAACTCGGGTCTCTGCCGGGTTCGCAGCGCAACGTGCTAACCGCTGCACCACCGCTCCCCACACAGACACACAAAGATCCCCCGTATAGCCTGCATAGACTTTTGGGGCAGATGCTGTTAGCAAGCAACTATGAAGGCCGGCACGGCACAAGGACGCACACAAACAGACACACAGACACAACAACAACCGCCATTCGCCACTAAGTGGCGGTGATGTCACCACGACGCTTGTGCCAGGCTATGTGCACATTGAGGCCACGTGAAGTGTCGAAAGCCCGCTGGCAGGAGGTCACGGGGCAGACCCAGGTGCCATGGGTCGACTGACTGAGACGACTGGCTGATGCACCACCTGTGCCCCCTACTGTGCCAACTTGCTGTGCTTTAGGCACCCGGCGCTCCGCTCGTTGTTGTGAGCGTCGCTCCTCCGCCCTCCGTTGTTGTTGGAGGGCGACTGCCTCCAACTGCCCAGTAGCGTCCTTCACGAGCCTCCTCCACTGAGGCTGATCTTGACACCCCTGGTACCAGTCATCGGCAAGTCCACTCACCTCCACGTCCTCCTGTACCACATCACTCCATCTCTTCTCTATCCCGTGCCGCACCCGTTTAGCCCCCTCTATCCGGCCGAACAAAAGCTGTTTAGGCATGCGGTGGCTGGGCATGCAGGCTACATGGCCCAGCCAACGCAGCCTTGCCTGCCGGAGGAGTTCACCGATGAGACTTTGCCCAGATCTTTCAAGGATTTGTGAGCTTCTCACACAATCCAGCCTGGTTAAACCCAGGATGGATTGTAGGCAGACCAGCCTAAATGTTTCTAACCGGCGAAGATGTTCCATTAGGGGGGGTCCACGTTTCGCAAGCGTAGAGAAAAGAGGGAATGACCGTGGCCGAGAAGACCTGAAGCTTCGTGCGTAGCGACAGACCAGGTAGCTTCCACACAGCGTTACGCAACTGATGAAAAGATATTGCCGCTCGACTGATTCGGAGTGAGACCTCCGCTGTTAAACTGGAGCCGGTCATGAGCACATTGCCCATGTATGGGAAACTCTCCACTCTCTCCACAACTGCCCCATCACCGATTGGGAGTTGCGGGGGTGGAGTGTCCGATGGTACAAAATACCCAGGCACACACACACAGACACACACACAGACACACACACAGACTCACCAGTCCGTCTGCCTTCTTGGCGGTGAGCGTGACTTGTCCCGGGGGTGGCGTGCGCACCGTGTACTGCTTCTGGGCCTCGCGGAGTCTGCAGTGGGGGGCGTGGGGCGGGTGTGAATGGAGAGGGGGGGGTCATCTCTCACGCACCACCCCTGACCTCGTACGTCGCGCCCGTCACACCACGATCTGGCTTAAAGGAAGCGTTGTGGATGTAATCAAGGGAGAGGAGGCTAGTGATGGGAGGGATGCATGGTGTGCAGGGTGGTGGAGGGCGGGTCACCGTGCCAGGCATTGGAGTGGCACCCAAAGGTCAGTGACGAAGGGAAAGAGAAGACCTAAAGCCGGCCGTTGGTGGTGCTGGCGGTGAGACTGGACTTCGGGAGTTCAGTAACAACTCAGCGACAACTGTGGGACCTCGTAGAAGGAAAGACGCGATGGTGAAAGGTGTCTGGTAGCACCAACGAGACTGTCCGCGACGACCCCATGACCCTGACGCTGGTCGAGAGAGAACGGTCGTTGGGAGCGCAGCGCCGCACGCGAGGTGAGGTTGAAGTGTGGACGAGACAGACTCGTTCTGCATGGCCACGTGGTCAGGTGATGGTCCAGCAAGTAGGTTGTATGCACTGGGGGTGGTGGTTTCTTCTTCTCCATGGGTACGCGAAGGAAGTGGTCAAAATCCCAACGACAAACATTCGTGCGTGCGTGCGTCTGCTCCCACTTCGAACAAATGACGATCATTAACGCTGATTGCCCTGTCGAACGTGCCTAGCGAGACGCAGCAGAGCCCACGGATCTGCGAGCGGGGCGGCAGGTAGATGACGCGGAGTTGTTATAATGGCACCGATTGCCGCGTGGTTAAAGAGAGAGAAAAAAATCCCAGCTCTCTCCCCCCACCACAATAATAATGCCCCCCCCCTTCCACCTCCCCCCCGAAAACGCCGTCTCCCACGTCGGCTGCGTACGTAACGCCCGGTGACTTAATTTTTACTGCGAAGGTTTCCGAGGCAACTGAAACGGGCCACCCCCCCCCGCCCCCCTGCAAGTCACAGGACACGGGCCGCGGTGCGATGTCGCGAGAGAGGGAACAGCGCTGGGCTCACGAACCCGCCAGGTGATAGCCCAGCGCTGCAGCGATCGGGAGGTCGGGAGGCCGCGAGGTCAAATCCTGGAGCGGAGGGAATAGACTCACTCAGCCCATCGTTCCCTCCCTCTGGGGTCGAGAAAAAATGAGCACTACTCTGTGGCCAAGTCAACAGCGGTTGTCCGATAGACATACTCGTCTCCGCCATGTGAATGTAGAATTTCCATCACTGGCCCTGCAGGGCTGTGGACGGGAGATGAGCACCGATACCTCGATGCTCGCTCGAGCGGGAGTCACTCTGTGACTTTGTTTTCATTTTTTATTTCGCCTATCCTCGCCGTATATTCAATTCCTTTGCCATTTCTTCTCGCCCGGGTAAGCAGATTAGACTAAACTAGCTAAACTAACTCGCAGCGTATTTCATCGCTGTGCAGAATTTTCACGACGACATTAATAACTCCTTTCCCCTTGCACGTACAAAAAAGTGGCAAAAACTCTGGACCGGTTTCAACATCAGCAGCAGAGTCGGGCTCGCTTGAACCAATGCTGGTGAAAGGCCAGATGTTCACAGACAAAGGACCCATCTCTGTTAATGTCCTGGGTGCGGGTTCACAACACGCACGTCAGCACAAAGCGTCACTGTGGAGGATATTTAGCAGCAAAACGAACGAGGAGACTTTCTTCTCGTACGGACGGAGGTGCTCGGCTGTTGTTGTTTTTGTTAAACCTCGGGTGCCTCCCCCCAACTGCGACCTCTCCTCCGTCCAACTCTTCGCTCACCCGCCCGCCTGCCCGCCTGCCCGCGTACCCGCCTACCCACCCGCCTACCCGCCCAGTAATTGCAAAATAATTTTTAATTGACTGCAGGTCAATTTATAAATTACACAGTGGAGCCAGACTGCTTGGAGACTGTGAAATTGTGCTCACACACAGAGCTGAGCTGAAGCACAAGACCCCGCCGTTACTCGGGCAGCGAGAGAGAGAGGGAGAGAGGCCAACGCTGAAAACCGTCAGGGTTGCGCCAAGAATTCTGTCATCGGCGTCGCCAGGGCCCGTTTCTGGTTCTGGCGGCGGCAGCCGCGAGGGTCTGGTCTGACTTGCGTCCAAAAACGAGAGCACCAGCCCACACCCCCAAGCCCCCCCCCCCACCTCCCGACCCCCGTGCCTGCTCCCCCCCACCTCCCCGTTGCTCCGCGCCGGCGCGGCGAGCCGCGGAGTGTGTTTCAGAAAAAGGATCGTAATTGTGCGATCAACGAAGAATCGCACCGCTCATGGCTCTTGCCGAGAGATTGCTCGCCCACTCACTCGCCCGCGCCACTCCTGGCGCAAGGGGCCTCTCCAGCACTGCAGGCAGCGCGAGAGAGGTGCTTGGCCTACTCTTCCACACTGTCTGGGCATCTCGGAAGAGGTGGGAGCAACTGCCCCTTGTTGAAGTGCGAGGACCACAAGCAGCCCTAAACGCTCGTGAATTGGGTCGATAAAACCTTAATATAGAGAGGACTGCAGAACTCGAGCAATTGTGGCTGCCTTCCCGCTGGTCTGTGGCTCCTCCTCCTCGCACCTCTTGAGTCGTGCCCTCTCGGTCTCTCTCGGAGAGCGAGCGAGTATCATGCGGTGGTGGCGGCGCATTACGGGTTGAGACGATTATTACAACAGTTCGCCACGCGACGAAAACCTCATTTCTAAAACCCTCCTATTGAGAGCGCGTGACCTGAACTGGAGAGCGGCTCAAAAAAAAGGATTAACGGAGAGGAGAGCTCGACCAGCAATGCCTTGCGAAGCAACAGCCGACGAGTGAAACACCGAGGGAGTGCACGCGACGATGCACGCTCGGGCAAGGCGAGGCAGACGGAGAGTGGGGATTGCAGGGCCGTGCGGAGAACGGACAGCAGCTGTAGATGCGGCCGCGCTGGGACTGCGCTGAAGGCGGTGGGTTCTGCTCGGCCCAATCGGCGTCCAAAGACGCGCAACGGCGTGCGGGCGTGCGGGCGGAGCGTGCGCGGACACGCACCGCTCGGCGACGATCCGCTTGCTCTCCTTCTTCCAGCTCTCCTTGAAGTCGGCGGCGAACTCGGCCCAGAGGCCGAGCAGCTGGGTCGGGGTCACCTCCTTCTCGCCGTTCCGTGGCCTCATGCAGAAAAACTCCGCCGTGTCCAGGAAACTGCGGGCGACGACACGCACACGCGCGCACACGCGCACACACACGTGTAACCGACCGGGCCGCGGCGCTATTGAGTGTGCAGGCGATGCAACTGCACCGTGGTCCGCTACATGCCGGGGGGGGGGGGGGCATGCATTGGGCCACGCAGAGGGGGGAATTGCAAAGGGGTTTAACTAGTTCTTCGCGTCTGTGCCGACGTCGCCACGCCACTGGTTCACCACGCACGGCGGAACCGCGGCACCATTTGTTTGGAGTAGCGTTCTGTGTTGATGCTGGTTTTCGATTGCCGCTCACGGCCAACATCAGTGGCGCATATCCCAACCATTTCTGGGCCCCCCCCCCCTAGGTCGACTCAGCCTGGTGCGGTGTGTAATACATCAGCACCAAGGGAGACAAAGACGGTAGGGCGTGGTGCTGGCCACCCACCCCCTCGTGTACCACAGTGCCGGCCTTCACAGGTGCTCGCTAACAGCACTTGCCCCAAAAGTCTGTTAAGGCTACACGGGGGACATTTGTCTCTTGCGGGGTGCACGAGCGTGTATACATGTGCGTGCATGTGCGTGTGTGCGTGTGCGCGCGCGTGCGTGTGGGTATTTGCCTGCGTGAGCCTATCGAGTTTCATTAAATGGGCCCATAAACAATGGTCATGTCGACATGGATTGGTTTAATCCCGGCCTGCCTCAGGACCCCCCCCCCGCCGCCCTCCCCAGTCTCTGTTTTACATTCCACTGCTGCAGTCTCCCCCCCCCCCCCCCCCCTAACAAACTCCAGGCTGGCGGCGCGAAGAGCGCTCTGCAAAAACAACCGATACACACACACACGTGTACTCGATACACACACACACGTACTCGATACACACACACATACACGTGTACTCGATACACACGCACGCACGTGTACTCGATACACACACATGTACTCGATACACACACACATACACGCATACTCGATACACACACACGTGTACTCGATACACGCACACGTGTACTGGATACACACACGCACGTACTCTATACACACACGCTTACTCGATACACACACACGTATGTACCTGATACACACACGCGCGTACACGATATATACACACACACACTTACACGATACACACACCGTAACCGATCTCTCCTCCACGTCTCTCTCATTGACCAACTTTACTCTCTCACAACCCCGCTTGATTCATGCCGGATGAATGTTTGTGAGTATTCGCCGCGTGCCACTAACTTCTTATGAGTCTCCTCCAGGAAGCGCTCTTCCGTCTCCTGCCGAATTTTTGCTGAATGGGGAAGAGACAGACGGATGAACATAACGACGGGACACACGCACACACGTACACACACACAAAGAGACAAAGATAACCCATATAGGTCTTAACAGGCTGTTGGGGCAAGTGCTGTTTGTTTCGATTTAAAGCTTTCGTGACTGCAGGGATTCATCTTCTTGGTTCTTTCGGTAAAGTCACATAGAAGGGAAATAATAAAATTATAAAAAATAAAACGTAATGTATTATATTATTTTATTATCATCATCTTCTTGGTTCTTTCGGTAAAGTCACGTAGAAGAAAAAAACATTATATATAATATTATTTTATTATGTTTTATGTTAATTATTTTATTATTTCCCTTTTACGTGACTTTATCGAAAGAACCAAGAAGATGCTGTTTGTTAGCGAGCACCGATGAAGGCCGGCACTGCACACGAAGGGGCGGGGGGGGGGGGGGCAGATTTGTGTATGCACGCCCAGCCGCACCAGGTACTTATAAATATATTAATAAATAAAGGGAGGCGCTCACAAGAGGTGAGGAAATCTTGCATCTTGCTCTTGAAAGGCTGGAGGTTCTCCGGTGCAGAGGTGGTGCAGACCCTCTCCGTCTCGGACTCACACGCTGGCGAGATCGACACACACGCACGCACGCACACACACACACGCACACACGCACGCACACACACACGCGCGCGCACACACGCACACGCACACACGCACGCACACACACACACACGCACACACACACGTGCACACACACACGCACAGACACACGCACACACACACGCATACGCACGCACACACCACACGCACACGCACGCACCATGGTAAAGACACAGCCCTGCAAGTGCTCACTCACACCGCTGCTGGACGGACCTCCGGAAGAGAGCCCCCTTTACTTGGCCTACTCTTCCACGCTGGCCATACGTTTTTGGAGGTGTGCCAGCCAATCGACTAACTGTGGCGGTTCACGTGTTTACGCTGCTGCGGGTGGAGGGATTTAAAGAACTTGCCCCATTGTTTCAATGCGGCCCAGCTGGAAGTTTCCCGTGTGTGGCCGTACAGGACTTGAATCCCACGGGAATATTTGCCCGGCAGTGTCGGGAACCGAGCCGTGGATCTGTATATTTTAACTGGGGATCTTCCCAAGCGCGGCCAAATGGGAAACACAACTCTGAGCTCTGGGATTAAACGTTTGGCGAAGAACCCCGGCTACAACCGCCATCGCGAATTCACCGCACGGAAACATCGCAGCAGATGCGGCGCAGGTCCTGGTGCGTTGGGCAATTAGAGAGTCCGAGACACATGCCAACGCTGCGCCAACGTTCCATGTTTACTGGGAAAGTAATGGGTGAACCGCTGCACTTGAAAACATAATTAACCATAATCCATCACTGACCGCACAGATATGTCCAGATTGTTGTGGCAATGCCAATGAATGTGGGGGTTGCGGCGGATGGGAGGGGGGGTTGTGTTGAGTAGCCCCTCCCTTTCCCCCCGCCCCAAGTTTATACATTTTCACGACCCCTCCTAACGACCCAGGCGGCGCGGGGTCACATTGTGCGGGGTCAGAGGTCGAGGCATCTTGAGGTCAAGCGTGGGCCTCGTTATCTCTGCCTTCTAAGCCACAAGCATCGTTACCGCAGGGGCCCGGGCTCCCTTAATTGGTTTCTCGGCATCGTTAACGAGCCCACTTCAAAGAAGACTTTACCGCCCCGCGCTGACCCTTCCGCCAGCGCGGGGCGAGCGTCGTAAACCGCCCGCGGCAGGGGCCGGCCGCACGCAGCTTTCGCGAGTGGCGACACGCGACGGACGCCGGCCGCCGCGTTTACGGTTCACGTTCGCGTGCCGCCGGGCGACGCCGGGTTTTTCCGTCGCTCCGTCGGAGACGCGAGGGCACTACCCTTGAGGTCCCTCCGCAGGCGCCGCAGCTCCTTGGAGAAGTCCTCGAAGGCCATGTGCGACGTCTGCAGGAGGTCGGGCGGCTCGGGCAACGGGAAGACGCTCCGTTCCGTGCCTGCGTCCTGTTGCCAGCGGGGGAACAGAGGTCACCGGGTCGGGTCGGGACGGGTTCCTACTTTGGGCTGCGTCACGTTGGGTCGGATCGGGTGGGGGTCACGCGAGTTCACACGGTGTTGGGTTGTCAGGTCAAGTCAGGTCAGGTCAGCGTGAATCGAGTCGTCTGCTCGTTACGGATCCAGCTCGGGCTCAAATGGGGCAAACGTCGCGTTGGGTTCAGGTTAGGTTTGGTCAGGTCACTCTGGGGTCAAGCCAGGTCGTCTTGAAGCAAGTTGTGTTGGCGAGGGCGGGGTTGGGTCAGGCAACTTACATTGTCGAAGCAGCGCAGGTAGACGGAGGTCAGGTAGCAGACGAGGCTCGTGTGGTTGTCCTGCGACAGAACCGGACCATCAACCAAAGCCTCCGATTAGCGCAGTTGGCTTCTTACGGTGCAAAACAAGTTCAACGTACATACAAAAACGACTCACACGGGCCATGGCGGCTACACCGCACGTGGCGGCCGGCGACCCAGCACTTGCTGGATCACACACAGATTCTGTCAAACTCTCTTCCCATGGACGTCGTACCCATACCCTGGCTCGCCAGGAGAATGCGGTACAACTAACGTGCGACTAATCATCATCTGATCCTCATGACGATACCCCGGGGTACCAAATAATACAAAATGGCCGAGGCAATTAAATATTTTATTTCTGAGACACTATTTTTGTACAGGGGTGTACTTAACTCCTCATCTGTCCCATCTGTATGGGATCGGGTGTCGTCTCCTTCGAATTTATGGGCTTTCTTCCAGGTCATACTCATTCATTGGCTGACAACTCCTTAATATATGGAGGACCGCAGAGCTTGAAGAAACTGTTGATAGTGCCAGCTCCTCACCGCTCTTCTCTGGTTTCTCCCCAGCGTTGTTCTCTCTCTCTTCGAGAGCGAGCGAGTGGGGTGCGGCGGCGTCGTAACTAGTTTATATTTTCTATAAGCGGGGGAGCCGTGGCGCAGTGGTTAGCAGCACTGCACTACGAGCCTGGCACTGAGAGTTCAAATTCCAGGCCACGGCTAACATTGGTGGCTGAGTGGTGTCTGAACCGTTCCCGGGCTTCTCCTAGATTGACTCAAAGGGCACTTAGCCTGGACACAAGCACCACGGCGCTGTCGTTGTTGTTGTCGTTTTGGTTGTCGTGGGTGCTCTTGCTGAAGGAACACTTGGCATTCGAAGATGAAGCAAGGCCCTATGGCTCACAAACGGAAGATAGGCCGCGAGCAGCGGGCGATGTTACCGAATGCTTTTACCCAATTAAATAATTTTCGGGTTATTATTCACATTTTTAGGGTTGGGGGGGGGGGGGCGTCACTGCCCTCGTTTGGATAATGTCACGGGATCGTTCACGCCCGCCATGAAGCAGACGATGGCGCAGATCCTTATGGTTAAAACGCCGGCAGGAATAACCAGGGCGGCTGCTGGGCTTGAACCGCGAGCCTCTGCAACGAGCGGAGAACGCGTCTGCCCGCTCACGCATTTCCCGCTGTTGTCGTCGTTGTTGATGTCATTGTTGTTGTTATTGTTGTCGTCATTGTTGTCGTCATTGTTGTCCCCATCGTCATTGTTGTTATCATTGTTGTCGTTGTTGTCATCATTGTTGCCGTTGTCGTCATCATTGTTGCCGTTGTCATTGTTATTGTCGTCATTATTGTCGTCACCGTCGTCATTATTGTTGTCATCATTGCCGTCGTTGTCGTTGTTGTCATCATTGTTGTTGCCATTGTTGTCGTTGTGATCATTGTTGTTGTTATTGTCGTTGCGCGACTTACGCTGCTCTTGACGTCACGCAGCTTGGGCAGGATGTCGAGGCTGAAGCCGTCGGCCTGTCCGCGCGTGCGGTTGCCCCCGTTCATGTGGTTCCCCAGTGCCAGCACGAGGCTCAGCACGCGCTGCACGCCGGCGCCCACACGCAGGCTCTGGGGAATCAGCGCCACGCGGACGGGGGGGGAGGAATGGGATGGCGGAGTGAGAGTTATGGGGGGGGGGGGGTAGGGTTTGAGCTAAGGGCTTGTGGTCTGATCACAGTTCTTATGGTTTTTATTAGGGACTGAGTCAGCGTTTGGGTTGCGTCTACGGTTCGGGTTTGAGTTTATTGGCTGCGATAGGCTTAGGGGTGATGGCGGAGGTGAGGTCTGGGGTTAGGGGCCAGAGCTTTTAATAGGGATTGGGTCAGGGTTTGGGTTGAAGCTTGATTTGGGTCGAGGCCTTTGCTCATGATTAGCGTGCGAGTTAAGGGTTAATGTTTGTATGCATGTTGATCTTCTTTCGCACCGTACGTAGTCAACCGTGCTTGGGTTCAGGCTCAGACCAGCTTGTGGACTAGGGCTCAATGGGTTTACAGCTTGGGATGTTGGGGTCGAGAGGTCAGTTGGGATTTGTATGGGGCGAGTGTCGCGGTGCGGGCGAGCGTGGTTGCGGTGAGCTGCCACCACCGCCGCCACCGTCATGGCTGTCGTGCTCACCGTGCACACGCGCTGCATCAGGTCGAGTTTGCGCCGCACGCCGCTCATGCCCTCGGAGAAGGCCGACTGGAATGTCATGCAGAACACGCGCTCGCTGAAACTCGGGATCTGCGACAGCTCCAAGAGGAATCTGCGTGACAGAGACAGCGCACGCGTCAGGCAAAGGTACTCGCCTCGCCTGCGTCGCCCTCGCTAGGCCGAACATCCCGGGTTCGTTTATGAATGTGTCCTGGCCTGGCACCCTCCCCCCACGCCCCCCCCCCCACCCACCCCCCGATGATGGGATGCCCCAAAAGTTGTTTAGTGAAAGCCCCCCTCCATCACTGGGATACCCAGGGATTGGTCGGTGCTGCCCTGGCTGCCCTGGGACTCGTTGCTGTTGGTACTGTCCTGGTTGCCCTGGATGCCCTGGCTGCCCCTGGAACCCTTCGCTGTTCGTGCTGCCCAACACCAGCTAGTTCTTACTGCTCGGGTTTGTCGAGGGGCTTGGCGTCGGCGGAGGCGTTGTTGGAGGAGACATGCGACCGGATGGAGAGCAGCTCCTCCTTCTGGGCTCGCTACGACAGTGGGGGTTCATCGAGAGCCGTCAGTCAGAGCTCTCGCTCGCACGCACGCACATGCTCATCCACAAACACGTGGTGGGATGAAGACAAAGCCCCCCCATACAGCCCACACCGGCTGTTGGGGCAAGGGCTGTTAGGAAGGATCTATGAAGGCCAACATTGCATACGAGGGGGTAAGTGGTCGGCACCATGCACGACCGCCTTTGTCTTCCCAGTGGAGATGTTGACACATCGCACCGGTTACTCATATGGGAGGCCAGGAGCCCGGTTCAGATGATTGTCACTGGTGTGTTGGCCGTGAGCGGGAATTTAAATTGGGTCACCGGGTTCGTAGCGCAGCGCACTAACTTCTGCGTCACCGCGCCCAGAGACACAATAACACACAATCTCGCATACTTACACACACAATGACATACAAAGACAAAGATCCCCCGTATAGCCTTAACAGACTGTAGGGGCAAGTGCTGTTAGCGAGCACCTATGAAGGCCAGAACGGTACACGAGGGGGTGGGTGGCCAGCACCACGCCTTGACCGCCTTTGTCTCCCCAGTGGCGATGTTTACACATGGCACCAGGTACTCATTTGAGGTTGAGTCGACCTAGGGGAGGCCAAAGGCCCGGTTCAGATAATCGTCACCGGTGTTGGCCGTGAGCGGGAATCGAACCCTGGGTGACCGGGTTCGTAGCGCAGCGCGCTAACCGCTACACGACCGCTCACAACACCCACATACACACGTACATGCTGACACACACACACACACGCGTACCCATTCACCTCCACCCTAATCCAAGTCAGGCCTAGAACAGGGAGCGTGGCTCGGGATGCGAGTCGCGGTTTTTCTCAGAGCGGATTTGTGTTTTTATAGAAGCGGTCTCCTCCGCCGTGTCTGTATCCAAGACGTCGGAGCCGGCGCCCGGGCCGCCTGGCGCTAACGAGCGCTCGCGCGACGCAATCACGGCCCCGTGGTAATTAATAGCGTGCGTGCGTGCGGGGAATACAACACTAACGGTGGGGGGCGGGAGGAGGCACCGTGGCGGGGCGGGGAGTTTTAGATGAACTCACGGTGTGGACCCCCCCCTCCTCTTCTTCAGTGAGAGTTGGCATCGGCACTCCCCGTCAAAAACCCCCTCCACGCACTCTCCTGCCTCTCATCTCACTCTACTCCCCTCCACGCACTCTCCTACCTCTCATCTCACTCTACTCCCCTCCACGCTCTCTCCTACCTCTCATCTCACTCTACTCCCCTCCACGCTCTCTCCTACCTCTCCCCTCTCATCTCACTCTACTCCCCTCCAAGCACTCTCCTACCTCTCCCCTCTCATCTCACTCTACTCCCCTCCATGCTCTCTCCTACCCCTCCCCTCTCATCTCACTCTACTCCCCTCCACGCACTCTCCTGCCTCTCCCCTCTCATCTCACTCTACTCCCCTCCACGCACTCTCCTGCCTCTCCCCTCTCATCTCACTCTACTCCCCTCCACGCACTCTCCTGCCTCTCCCCTCTCATCTCACTCTACTCCCCTCCACGCACTCTCCTACATCTCTCCTCTCATCTCACTCTACTCCCCTCCACGCACTCTCCTACCTCTCCCCTCTCATCTCACTCAACTCCCCTCCACGCACTCTCCTACCTCTCATCCCACTCTACTCCCCTCCACGCACTCTCCTACCTCTCCCCTATCATCTCACTCTACTCCCCTCCACGCACTCTCCTACCTCTCCCCTCTCATCTCACTCTACTCCCCTCCACGCACTCTCTTACCTCTCCCCTATCATCTCACTCTACTCCCCTCCACGCACTCTCCTACCTCTCCCCTCTCCTCTCACTCTACTCCCCTCCAAGCACTCTCCTACCTCTGCCCTCTCGTCTAACTCTACTCCCCTCCACGAACTCTCCAACCTCTCCCCTCTCATCTCACTCTACTCCCCTCCAAACACTCTCCTACCTCTCCCCTCTCATCTCACTCTACTCCCCTCCACGAACTCTCCAACCGCTCCCCTCTCATCTCACTCAACTCCCCTCCATGCTCTCTCCTACCTCTCCTCTCTCATCTCACTCTACTCCCCTCCAAGCACTCTCCTACCTCTCCCCTCTCATCTCACTCTACTCCCCTCCAAGCACTCTCCTGCCTTTCCCCTCTCATCTCACTCTACTCCCCTCTACGCACTCTCCTGCCTCACTTCTCTCATCTCACTCCGCTCCCCTCAACGCACTCTCCTGCCTCTCACCTCTCATCTCACTCTACTCCCCTCCACGCACTCTCCTGCCTCTCCCCTCTCATCTCACTCTACTCCACACACTCTGCTACCTCTCTCATCTCACTGCTCCATGCACTCTGCTACCTCTCCCCTCTCATCTCACTCTGTTCCCCTCCACGCACTCTCCTACCTCTCCTCTCTCATCTCACTCTGCTCCACGCTCTCTCCTGCCTCTCCCCTCTCATCTCACTCTACTCCCCTCCAAGCACTCTGCTACCTCTCCCCTCTCATCTCACTCTGCTCCACGCTCTCTCCTGCCTCTCCCCTCTCATCTCACTATTCTAGCAAGCGAAGTCTTGACTATTCCGCCGTTAGGGATTAGAGTTCGTCAGTGCCAGCGAGTTAGCTGCTCTAATCAAGTACTCGAGTCATCGCCTCCCGACAATCAGTTCGGCAATCGCTGTCACAGCGATCACACAAGCCAGAGAGAAACGGCGGGGATCGCGAGGCACGTCTCGTCTCTCGCCAGCGCTACCCGTCCGGGGGAGGGCCTAGAACCTTGGGTCCCCGCAGGTCACGCGGGAGCCAGTCACTCACGACGACGTCCGGCTCCTACAGCGTCAGCGCGATGGGGACTTGACGCGTGAGAGGGGGGGGGGGAGCGTGGAGGTGCTGCCATCGGCGACCGTGACAGCCGTCCGAGCGGACTGCGGGGGCATGCCTTGCGGATCGCCGCTGTCTGGGAGGCGCGAGTTCCATGTTTTTTTGTTTGTAACCACTTCACTGACCCCTGTGGGGGTGGGGGGGACGTTTGGTGGAGGGCCGATGGGCATCTCGGTTCCAGCGCTCTCGCGAGCTCCGCTGAGCGCGGCGCCGCGTGCCGGCACACGCCGGGCGCCACGCGCCGGCGATCAAAGCGACGTCGCCGCCCGCTCCACACCGGGGGCGCTTCGCTCGGCGTGCGCGTGCACGCGTGTGCGTGCGTGCGTGCCCGCACACGTCCGCGCGTGTGTGCGTGCGTGCCCACGCGTGTCCACGTGTGCAGGCCGAGGGAGGTTGGGCAGCGGGGCACAGCTGGGTTTGTCGAGCCTTCCACTCGGCCCTTGGATCGTAAACACCGCGAGTTCAAACACTTTGCCCGACAGCCGTTTGACACGCATTAAACATTCTCACTTTCCGTGTGTGTTTTTTATAGTTTCAAAATGTTTTTTTTGCCATTTTCCTCCCAAGTTTTACCCGGGTTGCGTTATCGGCGTTGACAGGGCAACTTTTCCGAAAGGAAGCGGATATCACAGAGGTACCTCTGAGACCCCATCACGTGACGCTCTCATACACACAGGGTAGAGGGGCAGCACTCTCCTACCTGCCATGCAAATGACAGTGGTGTTCATCGCATGACAGTCAAACTAGCATTTGATTCCCAGAGCTGGTTTGTTGACTGGGCCAAAGCCGTCGACCTGTGGACCCAATGCAATCACAGGGCATGGCCAAAACCCAGATTCAAACCCAGGCTTCTCAGCCACGCCGGCTCAGAGACGCCGACACAGCCATTATGGATCTTCCCGAGCCACTTCGGCCGCCATCACCTAATTCCATGTGAACTCTGACCCTGCTCGCTCGTGCCTGAATGCCAGCAACTGCGAGGTGGTGGTGGCGGCAACAATGCCACCGCCCCCCCCCCCCCACTCTCAACCGGGCCGCCACCACAACCGCGGCTCCCTGTGAAACCCACACCTTCTCGTTTATATCCTCATCGCGGGTTTATCGCCCGAGAAAATAAAACACACACATGCACACACACTTACGCACGAACACACACGCACGTGCACAGCAAGGGGCCGGTCACAGGAAGGATTCGTAGTGCACGACCTTCACGATCCTGAGGGCCTATAAACCTCTCCCACCACACACAAACACACACATGCTCTTAATTAGCGGCGTTTCTCTGAGCACCGGCTCGTTAACGCTGCGCGACAGATACCCACGCGGGGGGCCCACGCCTCTCCACCGCCAGCTCCCTCCCCGCTGGCAGGGGGCGAGTGTGCATCTACAAGGTTGTCTCACACCCGCCATAGAAATGTGGAGTGTCCGCCGCTGGCTCAGGGCCGTAAAGAGGAGATGAGCAGCCACCCCGACGCTCAAATCGAGCAGCAAATCGCGTTGTTGGTGTTGACCGTGGTGGGTTACATCATCCCACCGTGGTGGATAAAATATGGACCACTTCACTTTGCGGAGAGTGAACGACAGGCGCGGTGGGATTGTCATGGAGCGGCCGGGGAGGTTTTTTTTAAACATAATTGGTGAGCTCGAGTGAGGCCGTGGGGGAAGGGGGGGGGAGTTGGTGAAACTAGCTGGCGGGTCGCAGTCGGGTAGCAGGGCCATTGCTCTAACGGTCGCACATTATTATTATTGTTTTCAATATAGCGTTTTCTGTTAAGGCCACACACACATAGCATTGTTATTGATGAACGTGTTGACTCTGTTAATTGTGCCTGTGCATCACAGCCAACGCAGCAGCAGCAGCACCACCGACATAATTTGGGACAACCCGCGGATGAGCGGCTGGTGCGCGCAAGGGGCCGTCGGTGTCTGCGTCGTGCACGGAGACTCACGTTCTCGAAGAGGGCCTGCAGCGTCTCCAGGTCCACCTGTGACGTGTCCATCTCCAGCACGGCTGCACATTCCACCGGTTTGGGGGCGACACAACCAACGGAGGTCATCGTCTCGTCGTCTCCGCGGAGAGTTCACCCCGCTAACCGTCAAGTGATCGACTTTGCACACGTGTGTTTTGCCGCCATGCGGCGGTGTGCTTTTAGTTATTTGGGGGGGTGGGCGAGGATATAAAATGCAAGGAAGGAAAAACAAGTGAACGATATCACAATTCGCGGGCTGTGTGCATTCCACCGCTCGCTTTACTTTGGGAATAATATTGGGAAAAATGTTTGCCTCCGGACAGGGCGCATCATGATGGAGGCCAATTGTGAAGAACAAATGACGGGATAGACGACGTCCCTGTCTCCTTTATATAGGTCTCTGTGCGAGTCTTTGGGTTTCTGTGTGAGTCTATAGGTCTATGTGAGTATAGGAATCTGTTATGAGTCCATGGGTCTCTGTGTGAGTCTTTGGGTCTCTATGCGAGTCTATAGGTCTATGTGAGTATAGGAATCTGTTATGAGTCCATGGGTCTCTGTATGAGTCCATGGGTCTCTGTATGAGTCTTTGGGTTTATGTGCGAGTCTATAGGTCTATGTGAGTATAGGAATCTGTTATGAGTCCATGGGTCTCTGTATGAGTCTTTGAGTCTCTATGTGAGTCTCTGGGTCTCTATGTGAGTCTATGGCTGATGTTGCTGTAGAGGGGTGGGGAACGTCCGGCCCGCGGGCCGTATAAGGCCCACAAAATCATTTAGTCTGGTCCTGCCAAAATTCAATAAATCTAGGCGCTTTTTTCATAGCAACATAAATTTAATTTTGTATGGCCCGCGAATGATGCTATAAATATCCGAATGGCCCTCGGCAGAAAAAAAGGTTCCCCACCCCTGAGTGTAGAGCCACAGCTGTAATCTTTCACGGAGGTGGATGAGCCAGATAGTCGGTGTCGGGAGGAGCGGAGTGGTGAATCTTCGCTGCTGTGACAATGCCACCTCCTTTGTAATTGTGAACCTGGCACTGAGTCTGCGTTACACGTCCCATGGTTCTGTTCTGGGTGGTGGCCACAGCCCGGAGAGTTTTTAATTTTCCACCAGGTTTCAACCGCATCAGCTGCTGCTGCTGCTGCTGCTGCTGCCATGGTTCTGTGCGAATCCGGGTCAGGGGTTGTGGCCCCACAAGCTCCAGGGCAGGAGATGGAATGCCGGGGATGTTCTGCGCCATCGGCTCTGACGGTGAGCCGGAGGCGTGGGGGAGGGGTCTCATGGACGACAGCCTGGGCACACGTCTCCACGCACCCCGTGGTGTCGCACAGCGGACCCGGCGGGGCTGTTCATAAGCGCAGCCCGCGGCCTCCCAGCTCTTTGGAATTGGACGCGGAGCATTGGGACGAGCGTTTTGAAATGTGCCTGTCTGTAATGTCATGTTGATGCAGCTGGCGGGTGGGGAGGGGGGGTTAACAGAGCCAGCACTCGGGGATAACGATGACGACGCTAACGATTGCACGTGTGGGGTGAGCGTGGGTGAGTGTGGGCGAGCTGTGGGTGAGTGTGGCGAGGGCCGTGAGCTGGCGTCACCTCTCTGGATGTCCTTGATGTCGAGGTGGAGGCTCGACATGAGAATCCCCACGGCTTGCGAGCGTTTCCCGTCCAGAATCTTCGTCACCTGCGCGCCGGGAAGGAACCACAGAGTCTCTAGAGCGGCGGTTCTCAGCAGCCTGCGGCATGGATGCCGTGCAGGGTGAGTTTAGAATGTGCGCGGGGGGAACATTACGCCGACAAAACACGCGAGCACACAACGTGAACCAAGTGCCTACAAACCACCGTATTGCCTCGAGGCATGGACACACGTAACCTCTCCGAGATCGAGACGGGAGATGTATTCGGAAGAGATATATAGGAGATATGAGGACACCGTACACGCGACAGATGTGAAGGATTAAAGCACTCAGGGTAAAAAGCTCACAGCTCGACACTGCGAGCTGTCTCCGCGCACCTCATCGCACCGCTGCAGAGCCGACACGCTTCGCCAAAGACAGCTCACCTCGTTATTGAAATACACAGCCGCGGGAAATGTTGTTTGACATATCACACCAATTCAGCTCGAAGTGAACCCACTGGGGGGTCGGTTTGGCCCGCTCGCCGCAGCGAGCACAGCCCCCGGGCCCTGCGAGACCCAGCGGCGGCCGCATCAAAACCCCCGATGGAGTTCAGAATCAGAATCTGAACATTGATGTATCCTGGAGGAATCCGATGAGCTGCAAAGCTCTTTATCTCAGATGTCCAGTGGGGCGCAGAAATTTACTACAACGAATACAAAGACACGATAGGAGGGCAAGGTATAGGGAATGTAAATAAATCACCTAACAATATACATACAATTTGATTTAAAGCTTTCGTGACTGCAGGCATTAATCTTCTTGGTTCTTTCGGTAAAGTCACGTAGAAGGGAAATAATAAAATGATAAAAATAAAACATAATAAAATACAATTCTCACGACGTTTCGGCCACAACGCAAGCAGCCGTCCTCAGGTGAAGAACAGGGCTGTTGGAAAGACGGCTGTTGAATCAACAAAGTGGCTTATCATGTGGACATTTATAGTAGCCAAAATAATCTAAATAATATAGACGCAAAGCTTTCGAAAGACAGCGTCTGAATGAGACGCTGTCTTTCCGACAGACCTGTTCTTCACCTGAGGACGGCTGCTTGCGTTGTGGCCAAAACGTCGTGAGAATTGTATTTTATTAAGTTTTATTTTTATCATTTTATTATTTCTCTTCTACGTGACTTTACCGAAAGAACCAAGAAGATGAATATAAATACACACCAATAAAACTAAACATAAAAAAAAAAATCTTACCAGATAAAGCCCACTTAGCTATTAGCTTCTTTAGAAGCGACTTGGCCACAAATGATAGCTCAACAAAGTGGCTTATCGTGTGGACATTTATAGCAGCAAAAATTATCTAAATAATCTTGACTTAAAGCTTTCGTAACTGCAGGAATACCTATTTGTTGGGTCTTTCGGTAAAGCTACGTAGATAGAAAAAAATTGATCACGACGTTTCGATCGCAACACAAGCAATCGTCATCAGCAGCTCTCCCGTTATATACGTTTTCACCTGATGACGATTTGCTTGTGTTGCGATCGAAACGTCGTGATATTTGTATTATTATTTTTCTATCTACGTGGCTTTACCGAAAGACCCAAAGACTATGATATAGACACAGCACAACAGCAGCAAGCCGACTGTGATTGAGGCCGGCGCATTCCTCCCATTAGCACGGTCAGCTATGCACGGTGCGAAAGAAGTTCAACATACGTCACATCACCGTCCATTGCTTAATTGACTACTACAGTTACCCATGAATGTCTGTGTGTCCCACGTGTGACGTCACTCCACGTCGACCAGCCCCCCTCATTAATAATCATGAACAGGTTATGTCCTGATTTAAAGCTTTCGTGACTGCAGAGTCATATTCTTGGTTCTTTCGGTAAAGTCACGTGGAAGGGAAATAATAAAATAATATAAATATAAAACAATACAAATTCTCACGACGTTTCGACTGCAACACAAGCATAATCAGGTGTGAAATCCACAACAAGAAAATTTGAAAAATTCGTGAGAATTTTTATTGTTTTATTATTTCCCTTCTACGTGACTTTACCGAAAGAACCAAGAATATAGATTACGTCCTCCACATGGACCCCCCCGCCATTAATAATAATGAGCAGGTGACGTCACTCCACATGGAGGGGCGAGGCGCCTCCTCCCCCCTCCTCCTCAGCGTCAACTTATAACCCTCACGACAATGGCAGAACCCTCACGTCACGTGATCTCCGTAACGTTGTTGAGACATCAAAGTAAAAAGGACGTCATGATGAACAAGCGATTATAACCTTTAAATTAAATAAGTCTGTGTCACCGTGGCCTTACAAATTCCACACGAATTGATGCAATGAATATATCACGTCGCGGTCTGCTTTTCGCTTGCAAGTTTCAGATTTACTGCAATACACCCGTCCTTGGACGGGCAAAAGGCTCGTTTATAAGATTACTCAGTCGCCTAACTCCCCCCCATCCCCCATCGCTCCTAACCCTTCCTCCTATGCCACACCCCCCCCCCCCCACACACAAAATAACACACAGAAGGCAATTTTGCTCGAGGAAGTTGAGTGTTGGGGGAATTGTCATCAACAGTAATGAGGGGACCGTGCAAGCGGACTGCTCCTGCTGCTCCTGCTGCTGCTGCGGGTGAAGTTTCTCCGTGTGTCCCTCAGCGAGTCTCAAGACTCGTAATTGGGGCGGCGGCGGGGGGCGGTGGGCGGCTGCTACTCGGTACATTCCAATTCCATCCATCGATGGGTAAATGCTACTGCCTGGTCTCTGATATTAGTAGCCATGGGGGGGGGGGGGGGCGGTGGTTGCGATCATTGACCATACTTCGCCTCGCTGGTCAGGATCGGGCGCTTTGAGGAAAAGATTTGGCCGATAAATAATTTGAAAGAAAAATGTATATTTGTTACAACGACAAAAATGCCGGCCAACTCTGCATTCGTTAGGTCGTTGTTGTGGGGGGGGGGGTTGGTTAGGGTTGGGAGGGGGGTGGTGCAGGGGCAATTTTTAAGAGCCTGACGGATCCCACCATTCAGGACGTCAACCCCCCCCCCCCCCGACTTCCAAACTCAAAATCACTGCAACCTTTGACCTAGTCGTCTCTCTCCACCGCGCCCCCCCCCCCATTACTCCCCGTCGTATTTAGGTCGATCCCGAGAGTCGCCCCCACTACCGCCGCCACCGCCGCCGCCACATATTAATGTCTGGCGGACAAACACCGCCCGTTATGGATTCCAGAGAGAGACTCGAAGGCGGGGGGGGGGTGAAGAGAGTTTTTCCAGAGCGCTGCGCCAATTAAGAAGTTACAGAGGGGGGGGGGGGCGGGAGGGGGGGGGGCTCTGGCTGCGGTGGTTGGCGCGGATCTGAGGGGGACCTAAGTGGAGATTTCAATGTCCGTTGTTCCGTAACAGAAATAATACGTTAGTGGTAGGAATTTGATTTTGCAATTTGCGGCGTCGCTTTCGATTAGCATCGCGTTCCTGGAGGAGGCGGCGGGGGGGGGGGGGCAGTAACGTGGGGGTGGGGGGGTGCACGCGGCTCGAATCGTTCAGTTTAATCATTTAGAGTGGGAGCCCTCCGGTTTTGTTCAGCGTACAGTAGCGAGTTTTGAGAGTGCAGAGTGAGAGAGAGAGTGGAGAATGAGTTTGGGTTTTTTGTTGCTCGTTGTTGTTGTTCCCAAATGCAATTACTCCGCTGAGCGAGCGGTGAGGTCGAACTAATCAAGCGACAAGCGAAACTCAAAACTTCTTCGGCGGAAACGTTGTCTCGACAGAGAGAAACTATATTTTGACGACACAAAGGCAAAGGTTCTCCCCCCTCCGTATAGCCTTGAGCAGACTTGTTGGGGGGGGGGGGCAAGTTCAGTTAGCGAGCAGCAACCTATGAAGGGCCGGTACGGCACGAGGCTCCTCCGATTCTTCCTCTCTGCTATTTAGATGTTTTTTAGTAATAGATTTTGTCATTTCCCCAGCAGCATCCCGCCTTGCCCTGGATCACCCTTGCCGGCGGAGGTGTTCCAATGCCAAGCGAGTATCATCGGGGAGAAATATTTTAACGAAAGGCGAAGACGCCATTCAGATCGCTCGCAGAGAAACGCAGCCCCCCCCCTCCCCCCCCATTACAGAACGGCCCACGAAAGCGGACAGCGTAGAGTCCGCCTCCGAGATCAGTCTGGCCTTGACTTCTAACTCTTGTGCGTGGCAATATGCTCAGAAGCTCGGTGCCAATGTCGAGGCCTGCTGGCCACGACGCGAGGGTTTTACGAGTTCGTGCAGTTTTGCCGTCACTCCTCCCCGCTTGACTCTCAAACTCCTCTGTGTGTGTTGCCCTTCCGATTAGCGCGGTTGGCTACGTACGGTAAGAAAGAAGTTCAACGCACGTACTGTACCTGCGTGGCTTTTATCGATGAGGTTATGAGAAGCCTTTTGATTCAGTGGAAACTGAACCAGTTACCCAAGCTCGCACAAATCAGGGTATTCATGAATATGAACGACAGGAGAGATTGCCAAAAACATTTACAGAGAATTAACTGCTGCATTGAGATTGAATTAAGCGGTACAACACGAATCAAACAAGACGCACACACACGCGCGCGCGCGCGCGTAAAACCAAAGATTAACATGACACGCGCACTGCACATGTACAGCCCTTCAGCAATCCACTGCTGGATGAAGGCCTCAACACGCATTAAGGTCCAAGGGGTTTGTTCGACCACACTTAACCACACGGGCCATTGCGAGGGAATTTATCCCAGGACCAGTTCCGATATCAGTCGTTGTTGGTGTTAGCCGCCGCTGGCAATTGAACTCGGGGCGCCCGGCTCGTCGTGCGGCGTGCTAACCGCTGCGCCACCACTCGACTCCTCCGCGTGAATGCTGCGGTCGGGGTTGCGGGGAAAGAGGCTTTGTTGTTTTACAGGGCAACAGTGCCACCTCCTGATGGCCAGGAAGCCGGGGCTGACAACACAACCCCCACCCCTCCCCAACGCGGACACAGCCTCGGTGCAACTTCAGCATAATCCACATCAGCCATGGTCGATCCACTGCCGGATGAAAGGCCTCCTCAAGCTGCCGCCGCTTCCCACGATCCTGCGATGTAATTTCCCACCGGGCGCCCGTGCCGAATTCATCGGTCCGTCTCTCACGGTGGACATTCCCTCGGACTCGTTACCTCGCTTGGCTGCCGCTTCTTGTCGTCATCATTCCCGACGGGTGGCCAGCGATGCGTCCTGCTCCGAGCCCAATCTTACCGAATCCGAGCAGTTTTAAATGACAACATTCCCCTGCGTTGCGTGCGTTCGCCAATCCACGCGTTCCTCTTTTTCCGTCACTCCGCTCGACGTTACTTCAGCGAACCCGTTTGCGCGCGTGATTTGTGCGCACGTTGTGAATAAGTTTAGCCCGGCGCGAGCGTTGCGAGGGCGCCGATCGATCCGGCCCGGCGAAACCACAGCACCGTCACGCGGCGACAAAAATGTGTCCCCGATAGTTAAAATAATCCGGGCATAAAGAAAAACAGAGCCGTAACGACTAAGTGCTCCAAGCGAAATTAAACCCCAGCGAGCGGGAGACAATATCAGCGCTCGGACGCCGAGTTGCGAGTAAGCGTCCTGGCGAGACGTCCCGAGCGCTCGCATTAGCGGGATTATTTCTGCGAATCCCCCGAGCTCATCACTGTCACGAGCAACGTCACTCACGATCCTCGCGGCCCATGACTGCAGTCCCGTAGCATCGGGGGGGGAAGGGGGGTGGGAGACTGGACTAGAGGCCCCCTCCCTGCTGATGGCACAGCACCCCCTCCTAAGGACTTACAGCCACGTAAAAAAAAAAAATCGTACAATTTAATGGCAGTGAAGTTAATCGATGGGGCATCCACGGCCTCCTTATTTTGTCGTCGTCTGCCAAAGTGACATTTGCAGCGTTGCGTGTGGATGTGGAGGAGACGAAGCCTCTCAAACAGCCTCCGCCGAGGCTTGGTGGACGTCGGGGACATTGTATGTTTTTGGCCGATTTGTTTGTCTTTCTTGTGCTTTGCACTCGTATCGTGTTTTTTTTTTTTTTATTGTTTGTTGTTGCAACGTTCTGACCCGTCCCTACTGGTCATCTGTTAAAAAGAGCTTTATAGCTCATCGGATTCCTCCAGCATGAATAACTATTCTGATTGCCCGTGAATCGGCGGTGCGGGCAGTGCTGGACCTGTGAGCCATGGGGGTGGTGGTGGAACACTGTGAATTTGGAGGGGGGGGGGCGAATATCCAGTATACGCAGGTAAACGCAGAACCGGCCTGCGCATGGGCATTAGTCTGCGTGTCTCTGTCTCCCCGTTTCTCTCCATCTCACCGCGTGTCTCTGACTCTTCGGCATTCCTCTGTCCCCATGTGTGTAACAGGGCCGCTTTGTGACCAAAGCAGTCTCTAATCTACGTGTCTCTGTGTCTCGTGCCACCCCACCGTGGTGCCCACGTGTGCCCAGGCCCACCCCCCAACACCCCCCATCCCCGCCCACCCACACACCCCACGGCGGTGCCCTCGTAGCGACGGACCTGCTTGGCGCGGGACTTCTTGGCGTAGCTCTCTGCGAGCGGCTGCTTCTTCTCGGCCCGCGCGCTCTTGCAGAAGAGCTCTTCGAACTCGCTCGGATCGATGGGCGACTCGTCGAGCTGCGCCCAGAGACAGCGCGATTCCTCGGCGCTACCACGGACGCACACGTGGACACGCACGCACGCAGAGACATGGAAATACGCACGTGAACATGCAAAAGACAAACATTCCTCCCTATGTAGCCTTTAAAAACCTGTTGGGGTAACTGCTGATAATGAGCAAACACCCCCCCTCCCCCCTCCGCTCTCTGTGCGACTTCCAAGTGGAGGAGCTTGGAGAGCGCTGCACTGCTGCTGCATCGCTGAGGGTCGGGCTCAGCGATCGCTGCCCTCCCAACGATCAGCGGGTTTCTATTTACCCGATTCTGAAGAAGCGGGCAGGCAGTGCGCGTCGCGCTCCACGATGTCCGTTAAGGTTCAGCACGAGTGGCTCACCCCGTACTCTCAAGGTGAGCGGCTCACCCCGTACTCTCAAGGTGAGTGGCTCACTCCTGTGCTCTCCAGGTGAGTGGCTCACCTCCGTACACTCAAGGTGAGCGGCTCACCCCGTACTCTCAAGGTGAGTGGCTCACTCCTGTACTGTCAAGGTGAGTGGCTCACTTCCGTACTCTCAAGGTGAGTGGCTCACCCTGTACTCTGAAGGTGAGTGGCTCACCACGTACTCTCTAGGTGAGCGGCTCACTCTCGTACTGTCAAGGTGAGTGGCGCACCCTGTACTCTCAAGGTGAGTGGCGCACCCCCGTACTGTCAAGGTGAGTGGCTCACTCCGTGCTCTCAAGGTGAGTGGCTCACTCCCGTACTCTCAAGGTGAGTGGCTCACTCCCGTACTCTCAAGGTGAGCGGCTCACCCCGTACTCTCAAGGTGAGTGGCTCACTCCCGTACTGTCAAGGTGAGCGGCTCACCCCCGTACTCTCAAGGTGAGTGGCTCACTCCCGTACTCTCAAGGTGAGCCGTTCATCCCTGGTCCCACCAGGTGAACCACTCACCTTTGCTTGAGCGGCCCCTCCACATCACAGCTCATTTAGCATTCAGGTGCCACAACTCAGAAAGACCAAGGGCACGCGTGGGGTCACGGTGCCATGGCAATACGATCCTTCTCATTTTCACCTCGCCCCGCGCGCTTACTCCTGCCCTGCCACCACCGGTTGGGTTTCCGATTCACCATTATTTTGAATGAGTGCCGCTTATACCAACTGAAGCGTTTTGGGAAACCGATAGTATGGATGAAATTGTGTACGTCCTTCCATTAACGACGTATTTTTCTTGCGAGCAGGTTAAAAAACTTTATCCTGCTCGCCCTCGAAAGACGTGCCGACCGTATGACAACGGGCAGACGCTTATTAATTGGCTGTAAATGGCTTTATATTTATCGTTTGTAGCATCAGCTCACTGCCTTCCTGCTGCTTGTGGTTCCTCCCCGCTCCTCTGAGTCGTTCAGTCTCTGCGGCAGCTTCCGGTGGCGGGAGTGCGGTACAGGTTGACATGATCGTTATTATTGTTGGTAAGACCGAAAGTTCAAATGTGGTGGTGATGAGATTGTGACAGCCACCCTTGGTGGTTTGGTGTCGACTTTGCAAGAGCTGTGTGACCTAGCAGAAGGAAGTGACCTCTTGATGGCCTCTTGACCTTTTCGCCATTAAACTACAACTCAACTCTCCGGTTGTGCGTTCGGGTTGTACCGCGTGCCGTCCGGCGGCACAGTGTCCGGCGTTGCGCTCCACGTGCCGTAAGCTCGTCCAGGGAGCGAATTTCTATTTCGGTATGGAGCGACGAGCGAGATCAGCTCGTATTGGGGGTAATTTCGGATCGCTTCCTGAAGAAGCTCTCAGTGCACGAGGCGAAACGTCGGACGCCGTGCCGAATGACAATCGGCACAACGCGAAGACGCGTCGGAGAGCTGAGCAGCAGCAGCACATCCGCGACAACCCACCGAGACACAGCCCCAACTGCCACCCAAACCAGCCATCGCCTGGCCCTCACCTCTCAGCCTTGATCTGAATGCGGGACCAGTAGAGCGGCTTCATGGGCCGCTTGGGCTCCACTGCCGGCCTCCGGGGCTTCCCCTCGCGGCCCCCACCCAGGCCCCCCAGCGGGGGAGGGGGCGGGGGCCCCCCCAGACCCAGGGGAGGAGGCGGAGGTGGTGGTGGTGGTGGCGGTGGAGGAGGCCCGAGTCTTGGTGGTGGTGGCGCTGCCGGTGCCGCTGATGTTGCTGCTGCTGCTGCGAGACCTGGTGGTGGTGGTGAAGGAGGAAGAGATGGTGACTGTGTCTTGCTGCGAGTCGCCGTCAAATGGTGTTGATGGTGGTGGTGTCGATAGTTATGGTGGTGGTGTTGGTTGTGGTGGTGGTGATATTAGTGGTGGTGGTGTTGGTGTTTCTGGTGGTGAAGTGATGTGGAATGGTGGTAGTGGTGGTGGTGGATCGTGTCCAACTGCTAGCAGTGGTGGAGATAGTGCTGGTGGTGGTGACAGCGGTGATGGTTAGATTGTGCTCTGCTGCTGGTGGTTATGATAGAGTAGGCGCTGGACAAGAACAACAACAATAATAAGAACAACAAAAATAAGAACAAAAATACTGCGCCGTTCGTGTTGGTGCTGCTGCTACTACCAAACCTGGTGGTAACGGGAGTGGCGGTGGACTGTGTCCGGTTGGTAGCGGCGGTGGTGGCGGCGGCGGCGGCGGTGGCGGTGGTGGCGGCGGCGGTGGCGGCGGCGGCGTGGGCGGCCCAGCCGCCGGATTTTTCGTCACCGCGCCGTCAGCGCCCAGCACGCCGAACGCTTCCTCGGCGCTGAAGAACTTCTTGAGGCGCACGGGCACCGTCCTGCCGGTGTCCTCCTCCCCGCCGTCGGGCTGCTGCAGGAAGCCCAGCCGGTCCGTCTGCACGAGCACGTTCCTGAAGGCGCGCGGGAGGTCCCCATCGCGGGTGTCGACGCCCACGTCCCGGGTGCCCCGCGTGGCCCCCCGCCGGCCGGGCCCCGGGAGTCCTCCCCCCGCGGCGGCGGCGGCGAGGTGCAGCGCGGAGAGGTCGCACTGGAGGTCGTCCACCTTTCTCTCGAGGTCGGCGACCACGGAGGCGTACTCGCCCCGCACTTCGAACGTCTTCAGGTCAAACTCCTCCTGCACGCGCGTGACAACGCCGCCGCCACCACCAGCACCACGGTGACGACAACGATGGCGATGATGATGACGATGATGAAGGCAAGGATGATGGTAATGGTGCTGATCATGACACGGTGTGAAATTGTGTATAGCACAGTAGAGGGGGGCACAAGTGGTGCATCTGCCAGTCATCTCGGTCAACCCGTGGCACCTGGGTCTGTCCCGTGACCTCCTGCTAGCGAGCCTTTGACACCTCAAAGTGCACCTGGCTTGGCACAGGCACCGTGGTGATGTGACCGTCACTTAAGAGCGATGGGCGGGTGTTGGTGTTGATGTAGTTCTTTCGTCAATCCACTGCCGTGCGCAGGGCCAGACTACACCACAGGCTGAGGAGGCCCTCGTATCTGGTAAGCACTTCTTCAGGCCCTCCCCGTTGCACGCTGAAGTGGCAGCCGAGCGGCGGTAGCGCGGCCATCGCAATTTTTTTGTCCTTCAGTGACGATGACATCAGTTGTGACTTTGCCACAGGCAAAGCCAGCAAAGCATTTTGGTTCGAAGAAATGAGCACATATCGAGTTATTTGATGATGTAGTTAGGTCGAGTCTAATAAATGTGTTCAGTTTACATATGTAAATAAATAAATAGGTTTAATAACTTCACAATGAGTTGTCGCAATATGTAAATATGTAATACATACTAATTCCCTACCCTCCTATTAGCTTTAGGCCCCTCGACCTAAATCCGGCTTTGGCCGTGTGGATTGCACAGGGAAATTTGACCATACTTCACCACGCTGGTCACAGTGCGACTCCACTTAGACTATGAGATCTGATGGGGTCGTACAGCAACGCGACTCCATCGTCTGCCCGGTGGGGGGTGTGGGGGGGTGGGGGGGTGGAGGGTGGGAGGTGGGGGGGTGGGGGGTGGGGGGTGGGGGGGTGGGGGGTGGGGGGTGGGGGGGTGGGGGGTGGGGGGTGGGGGGTTGGGGGGGTAAACGCGGCGCGATCCGCTCGTGCCTTCGGCAAACCGTCACGTGCCGAATAATGTGCGGCGGGCAGCCGTGAATAAAACATGAAGCGGCAACTGCTGGCGAGCGACTCACAATGAGCAGTGCATCACGGAGGATCTGTTTTATTCATGGCGAGGTTTCCGTATTAATGCCTCGGCGCTTGGGGAGGTTGAAGAGGCCCTTGCTGCCGAGGGCTTAGAGTCAGAACGGCGGGCTTGTCTGGGCCGAGGACTCCATCCGGCAGTGGCCTGATCGTGGCTGATCAAGGTGATCAAGATGAACTGAAGGTTACGCACACGGGAGCCGTGTCTCGCTGGTCGTGGCGGTGGCGGTTCACGGTCAGCGCACCGCCATTGCCCCGGTATCTCCCCTCTGCCTCTGTCCACCCAGCAGTGCGAGTGGGCACAGCCATAGCGAGTCGGGTGGCAGGTCACGGGTGGTGGGGTAAAGCGTGGGTACTCCTACCTCTTCCAAGGCATCGGGGCGCGTCTGGTCAGCATGGAGTAATAGGCCAATAACACCAACTACAGAGAGGCTCTCCAGAGCTCCGCCGAGTGGAGGAGGCCCCTTCCGACAGCGGTGGGGTGAGCGACTGATTGCAGGGCTGCACCTTTACCTCTCGGAATGTGCCCACTGGGCACGCCCGGGCTATATTACGCTAACGGGACGAGGCTGCTGACACGCGCGTAGTCACAATAACGCGCGCACGGCGGAGACAGAGACCAACACCCGTACGCGGGAGCGGGCGACACAAACGCGCGAGTTCCCCGTTCAGCGTCGTGTTACCACACGGCGGATCTGAAACATTAGAATCTTTATCTGTCCTAGAAGAATGAATGCGATGAGCTACAAAACTTTTTTTCACAGACGTCCGGTATATATACGCGATGCAACTAGACGGACGAGAGAGAGGAACATACGGGACAGGGAAAGTACCGACGCCAGGATAATGAGTGACATCAATCAAACTGCGAGGGGAAAGTGAGCGTGCGTGGGAAAGAACACGACCTCCTCAGACCGGACAATCCACGCATCCGAGGCACAGGCACGACGATGGGAACGAGAGGCGAGGTGTCCTTAGTCATCGGCCACAACCTAGCCACCAAGGAATCGCAACCCCTTTTGCTCCCGCGAAAACGACCAGCCCGTCCTCGCGCTTGCACACGAGCTAACACTCCATCGCTCCATCTACACGATGGGCGTCACCCTCGGGAGTGAAAATGGTCAAGACCCAACGACCGGAGTGGCAGCCGCAGGAGCGGTGAAGCTGTCGCCCCGTAAACGCGAGCACGACACAGACCGTCGCGGGTAAAAAGCGTTCCGGAGGAAATTACTTTCCCTTGGAATAAAATAAATTTCTCCCGAACTACGTCTCTCCTGCCCGAGCACGACTTCATTCACTGAACAAAAGCGTCACCGAGTCTCAAGTCCCAGTGGTGTTTTTGTTTCGGAGGGTCCCGCTACTTTGGGATGTTTGGCCAATTCCGTTTAGAACGACGAGATGCACGTGGAGAACTCGGAGGAGACCCACCACGCACGCTCGCTCAAGCGCGAGCGTGCGTGGGGAAGCGTTAAACACTTCCCCAGTCTCCGCACGAATAGATTCAAGAATCTGTTTGCTAATTGTTACCTTCATCTTCGTGGCCGCCTCTCGCTGCCCAAGCCTACAACTCCTGGGCAATCCCAGGCAGAAGCAGCAGCAGCCGCCACCACCAGAGTTAGGTTGATGCAGTGTTATCGTTTCATTGGTCTGCGATGGGGATTGTTAGGCCACCGCCCTGTAATTTCTACGGGAAATTGCCGCATTCCTGCTGTCAATTGGCCCCTGTAAAGAGGATATTAAACGCGCGGTGACATCACATGGACATAATTAGTTATGTCTTTGTGCCCCCCCCCCCCCCCCGTTAAACAACACGCTGCACGCACAGAGCACCGCGTACACAAACTCGCGTGCGCGCTTACGCACACTCATTTTAGGCTGAGTCGACCTAGGCGAGGCCCATGACCGGTTCAGATAAACGTCATTGGTGTTCGCGCACACAAAGACAAAGATCCCCCGTATAGCCTTAACAGACTGTAGGGGCAAGTGCTGTTAGCGAGCACCTATGAAGGATGGCATGACACATACATACACTCACGTGAAGACATACACGCACATACACACATGCATTCAAAGGCAAATATACTCAGTGTAGCTTTTCACAGACTGTTGGGCCAAGTGTTGTTAGTAAGCACGCACACGCACGCACGCACACACACTCACACACACTCACACACGCACACTCACTCACACACACACGCACACACACACACTCATTCACACACACTCACACGCACACTCATTCACACACACTCACACACATACTCACACACACTCACACACACACAAAGCCAAAGATCCCCTGTGTAGCCGAATAGTCTGTTGGGCCAAAGTGCGCATACAAAGACCCCCGTATAGCCTTAACAGACTGTACGGGCAAGTGCTGTTAGCGAGCACCTATGAAGGCCGACACGCCACACGAGGGGGTGGGTGGCCAGCACCACGCCCGGCCGCCTTTGTCACCCTGGTGGCGATGTTTACACACCGGACAAGGTACTAATTTGAGACTGAGTCGACCTAGGGGAGGCCCAGGACCGGTTAAGATAATCGTCACTGGTGGTGACTATGAGCAGGAATCGAACTCGTGTCGCCATGTTCGTAGTGCAGCGCGCTCACCACGACACTACCGCTCCCCATGTGCACATACAACGCTGTGCCACCGCTCCCTGCGCACGCACTGTCACACTCACGCACGCATGCACTGGCACAGAACGCTCTCACCCCGGTGCACAGATACGAGAGCGGAGCGGCTAAAACCGTCGCGACGCCGCAAGACTCTACATTCGTGACAAGCGACACTGAGAGCTGCATCACCGCAAACCACGACTCTTCCCACAAAACCAAAATCCTCGACTGCTCAAGGAGGTGGTCGCCCCCCCCCTCCAACACCACGTGGAGGGAGGGGTTCACTGGGAGGCCCCAAGCAGAAATTATTCTTGTGGCCTGCTCCCATTTCAATGCGTAGGCAAGAGACGGAGATGCAGTGAGACGAGAGTAGACATGCAGGCAGACAAGAGGGAGGAGAGACATTAATTCACTGTGTTTATGTTAATTCGCTTCGACATGAACGTTAAGCTGAAATTTGGTGAACATTTTATCATTCCGTGATTCCGTTGCCCCTTGAGCCACGTGGGGTCGTGTCCCCTTGTGCTTGGCAATGCTGGAGCCTCGCACCCCTGAACCCGGCGAGCTCAAGGGCCCTCGAGAGGGCGGCTCGGAGCGGGCGATGGCGCCCGGGCGTGCGGGGGCCTGCAGCGACGCGGGACTCAACACAACGCTCCCCTCTCTTCTTCCTCCTCCTCTCGCTCCTTCACTCACAAGACCGCTACCCCCTCCCCACCCCTAACCGAACCGAACCCCCCCCCACACCTCCGTCCCGCCTCGCCAGGGCAGGCAACCACACCGCACGGCCGCCCATCTCTCGATCTGGCTCCCGTGGAACATGTGGAACTCGTGACTTGACAGTTGTCGTCGTGACTTCGACTACGATGATGATGAGACACCGCTACTTGGGTAGGAATTTTTTTGGTTTGCCTGCAAAACTTTACGGTGTTGTTGTTTGGCGGAGCTCTCCGCTGCGTTGAAGCACCAACTGCATCTTCCGCCTCTCCCCTTGACCAGCGGCTCTACTCGCAGCCCAAACCAATTCTCTGATCTTTCATTGAACTGCCTCGTTTTGCCGGTACAACAGTCACACGTGGCTGGGGCTCGTCAATAGTTGGGGAGGCAGCTGCCAAGGCCGTATCGGGACGCCAGACCGCCCCCCCCCCCCCCCCACACAATCAGCACAAGCAGGCTCTCCGAGGTGTTGTCGGGTTTGTACCGCCGTGTGATGTTTGGCACGATGATGTCCGACGTTTCGCTCTATGTACTGGGCGCTTCTTCAGGAACCTACATTTACAATCAGGTGGAGCGATGAGATTAGCTGGTGTGCAGGCGCTACCCAGTAAAACGTGTAAACGTTGGTTCAACGTTCCATGCTTACTGGGGGTGCAGGCATTGTTGCAAATTGAAATTCAGCTCTCGTGAAAAGGCTCCCCAGCCCGTGGAACGGAACGTTCCCCGTTGCGCCAAACAATGCGCGGTACGAGCACAGACACAGAGAGAGAGAGAGACAGACGCATGGGGGGAGATTTCAGAACGGGAGATGGAGGCAAGGCACAGAGGGCAGGCACCACGGGGGGAAGGCGCGAGGCTAAACCGAACGCGCGCAACAAACTCCTTCGCCACGCATAGGAGAGGGACAGAAACGAGGACGCACCTGGAGGCTCCTCAGGGTCTCGTGGTGTTCCCGCTTGAGCCTCTGTACCTCCGCCAGGTGTTCTACGTGGGGGGGGGGGGGTGCGGAGGCGCGTCAGTGTTAGGCAAGGATGCCCCGAGGAAGAGTGGGAGACGAGGTTACTCCTCGTTACTCCGTCAACTCCGTGGTGTTTCCCCGGCGTTGCGCGTTCACGGCCGAGTCGACGTGCGGCCACGCCCACCCCTGATGGTCCGGGTCGGAGTGATTGACACTTTCAGAGCTCATCATCATCATCGTCATCATCGTCATCATCACACGCACGGCAGTGATTAATGCACGAGTTGTGGGGTAGATGCTACACCCCCCCCCCCGCAGCCTCCCTCACTCCCCCCTCCACCCCCACCCCACAGCGGTGCCCCCTTACCTGTTGGCTCCACCCACATGCCCGCCCCTCTCCCATCTGCATGTCCACAGGTACTCCCCCTGCTACCTGACCCCCATCCTCAACTCCCAAGACCCCCAGCATTTGCACGGACCTCCACCTTCCATGCCAACGTCAAGATCACACGGCAATCATCGTCCAGTCAACGTCGTCATGCAAATCATCGTCACGTTCAATAATTGTCATCAAGTAACCATGATCATGATAAAAGTATCATCGTTAACACCACCACGCATGGACTGTGTAACGAGGTGGGAGCCCACATAGAGTGCGGGTTGCTGAGCCTCATGTACATGCAATAGTTTACTTTTATCGCAATCCCTAAAATTTGGGGCAAGTTCCTTCTCTGAGAATCGGCATATATTTACGTCGATTCATTATGAGTGGAGAAGGCGAACGCTCTGCGCGGCGCTTGACGACCATTCCGATACCAATCGAAGCGCTTAACTTTGCCGGCGGGATCAGTGGAATCCCTCACAAACGTCTCGCTCAGTGACGAGGCTCCAGTGGCAGCGCGCTCGCCGCTCGTTGTAGAGGTTCCCGGTTCATTCCCAGCGGCCGCTCCGATTAATACTGCGGTTGTACAGTGGATGCTACGATCTCGTTTAACGTCACGGTAAAAAATTTGGCCAAATTAAAAAAATGATACGGCAAATTTTTCAATTGTAATTTACATATCAATCACGAGACTCGGTGAGGCCATTCCCGGGTCAACACGGAGAAAAAATTCGAGTTCCGTCCACCGGGGAAGTACTGCTACCAATCCCTCCCAGAGCAGGAAGGTATCCTCAGTCATTCAAGGTTTCAGGGCTCAGCCCCAATATAAAATGTTACAATTTTTTTTTACAAATTAAGGGACGGACGTGGCAGTCTCTCCTTCCTTCACTCGTGACCAAAGCAGAACGCACGGCAAGATCGCGTAGTCACTCACGACGCCACCGTTTAGCGTTTTACATTTGCTTTAAGCTTACTTAACATGGATATGTCATGCCCCCCCCCCCCCAAACGAGGTCACGTTAACAGGGTTGCTGTCACAGTGCCTCTCCCATGTTGCCTTCGTGAACGCTGTCGCCCCAACCCCCACTCATCCTCCACCGTTCATCTTGGGCCTCAACACCAAATGGCCACCGCCGCCTCTTCTTCCACCGCAGGTGAGCATGCACAGGTGAGATGTTAACCCCACGATCTCACTCAATCCCGTCGGGGCTCACGCGAAGAGGCGCGCTGTTAATCCCTCTCGATGTCATTGTCGCAGACTGGGGTTGGTGGGGGTTGGGGGAGAGTGGGTGGAGGTGGGCACCTGCCAAATCTCGCTGAGCGCGCGCAGCTACGCGCGCCGTGCGGCATTGTCTGTGGGCCTCCGTGACGAGGGCGCAGAGCCAGACCTTAGCGTGGGGGCTCACGTCGAGGAATTTCCATTGTGCGGTGTCCAAGGGCTGGACGGCTGCCGAGGCCCTCACCTGGCAGTTGCCAGGCAACCGGAGCTGAGTGAGCTGCGCCGCTGGCGGAGTCTGTGACTGCACGCGGTGTCTTCTTGGTTCTTTCGGTAAAGTCACGTAGAATGGAAATAATAAAATAATAAAAATAAAACATAAAAAAATAATATAATATATTTTATTATGTTTTTTATTATGTTTTATTTTTATTATTTTATAAGGGAAGTAATAGACGGCTGCTTGCGTTGTGGCCGAAACGTCGTGAGAATTATTTTATTTTCTTGGTTCTTTCTTACCGAAAGAACCAAGAAGATGAATCCCTGCAGTCACGAAAGCTTTAAATCGAAAATTATTTCATTATGTTTTATTTTTATTATTTTATTATTTCCATTCTACGTGATGACTTTACCGAAAGAACCAAGAAGATGAATCCCTGCAGTCACGAAAGCTTTAAATCGAAATTTGCTTGCGGTGCATCTCGGGTAAAATCCTCAGGCCCTCCATTCGCCATGCGCCGCGTGGTGTAAGAACTACATTGTCGGCAGCAGGTCAGGTTGGGTCCCCAATATTTGATTTGTCTCGCACGGTCGCACCACCGAGGGCTATTGTATATCTCGTGGTTCGTCTTGCCCCACCAATCGCATCGCTACGCTCACGGTCTCGAACATGTCACGCTGTAAGAGGGGCGGGGTCCGCCTTCGCAATAATTCGGCCACTACAGCTTCGTAGCACCTCTGTGCAATCGTACGTGACTGCTCTAATGGAATTTAAAGAAAACGTGGAACGTAACTGAAAGCATTTTCATAGAAATAAATGTAAACCGCGTTTTAAATAAGTGTTGTGTTCTTTTACACTGTTGTTGAAAACATATCTCATGGTGGCTGTCAAGGGGGTCCCCCAACTCGTAGCTTTGGCCACCAGGGGGGAAGCAAGGCACCCCCTGCCCCCCCACTTCATGTGGCCTCAGCGCGGACCAACAGTTCCCACTCACGGCTGTCTTACAAACTGTCTCTTGGTGGCTGCACAAGCTTCTGCGAGTGAGATTCCTCATTCCAGACGATCTGCACGGCCACACTAATACGTTGCTGAACCCTCCCACGTGCCCTGCTCGGGAGAAGAAGGCCCATTGCCTGAAACGTCGCCGATATATATTTTGCATTATAAGGCCGCACGTGTTGTGTTATTGTTGTTTGTCGCACCACTGCCAACACAGCAACGTAATCAGCAGCGTCGCCAACTCTGCCGTAGAGATTTAAGGGAAAAATCTTATTTCACCTTCATATTTGACATGATTATCTCGTCAAAATGTAAACATATTAACGCCGCCAAAACAAATTCAACAGTTACGTGGCCGGTCCCAAAATCTATTATGAATCATGATACCGTCCGAGAAACCCTCCTACGGTGACCTCAACATGTTTATTACTTCCCTTCTACGTGACTTTACCGAAAGAACCAAGAAGAAGATGTTACGCAGTTCTGTGCCGTGCCTGGCACCAGAGGTAAGAATCCATCTAAGCTGCACCAATCGATTCTGGGGAAACCGTGACAGATGGCAACCCCAGCCACAGCCGGAATTAGCTAACGAGGCTTAATTGTGTCTCAAACCAGCCCGCGGCTAATCCCCCCCCCCCCCCCACACAGCGTCAAGACAAACATCCCTCCACCTCCCCGTACAGCCCTGAGCACGCAATTGGGTGCAAGTTGCTGTTCGCGAGCGAGCGGCACCTATGAAGGCCGGCACGGCACACGTGGGACGGGGTGGTGAGTCGGACAGCGACCACGCCCGGCCGCCTCCGTTGTCTCTCCGGTGGCGATGTTTACGCGCTGCTCCAGGTACTTGCATCCTAAGGCTGGTTTCAAATATTCGCCACGTGTCGCTGCTAGACCGCTCCCCATCCACACGTAACGCTCGCTCGCGCGCACGCAGTTGCTTTGTGTAATTTTCTAAACAAACAGTGACCACACCCAAGCAGATGTGGCAGATGAGATGATTATCCCCCGGTATACACTCGCGAACGTCGGGGCAATGTTTGGCATGCGGATTGGAATTGTCGGCACGGTCAACTTCGGGGCAACGTTCCGTTGTTGTGCTGGGGTCGCCGTCAGGGTTCAAACTGAAGCGGACATCACTGGAGCAGATCCTGCTCTTCATGACGCCCTCCGTCTATGGGGCCGTCCATAAATGACGTCACGCGATTTTGGACGATTTTGAGCCCCCCCTCCGTCGTCACACGGCGTCACAAAAAGTCAGACCCCCCCCTCAAATATGACGTCACAAAGCTCTGCCCCCCTCCCCAAAAAACACATGCTTCAAATCGCTTTAAACTATTGTCATTGTAGTGCGTATTTAATGTGGCGCTGCACTCTGATGTTGTAGGAGAAAACATTTATTAAAAAGTCAATTTAATTAAGTAGAACGTGTTTATATTTATTGAAAGTTGCGCATTTTTACGTGACGTCACATTTCTCGCGTGACGTCATATATGGACGGCCCCTATTGTATGTGTGACCTTATCTTCCTTATCGAAATCAGCCATGCTCAACCCACTGCTGAATCAACGGCTCACCAAGGTACTGACGCGCCCAGGTCACCGTTGCAAATGAGATTTCCATCTTGGCCTGCTTAGCTCTCACCTCGTTACACCAAAAATACTTCGACTCGACCTAAGCGGCGTCGGATTTGGAAGCGAATCCTCCGGTCCGGTAACGTGAAGCGCAGCAGGTGCGGGGGCGAGTTAAACCCTGCGGTCTTGGTAAACGCAGCGCGAAGGGGAGGGACCCACCGGCCTCCGTGTACTTGAGGCCCAGCTTGTCCTCGTCCGCCGCTGGCCGCGGAGGCGGCCACACGGGGCCCAGGCGCCCCGGGCTGCAGCGCTCCTCCGAGTGCTCGGGCCCCGGGCGGCCACTGGGGCTCGACGGCGCTGCACACTGAGAGGAAGGGCGGCCACGCACGTCAACAACAACAACAACAAACACACGAGACAAAGATCAACCGTGTAGCCTGTAACCGACTGTTGGGGCAAGTGCTGTTAGCGAGCACCTATGAAGGTCCGGCACGGCACACGAGGGGGTGGGTGGGCCAGCACCATGCCCGGCCGCCTTTGTCTCCCCAGCGGCGATGTTTACACATACTCATTTGAGGCTGAGTCGACCTACGGGAGGCCCAGGACCGGTTCACATAATCGTAACTTCTAGATTTGAAGCTTTCGTGACTGCAAGGATTCATATTCTTGGGTTTTTTCGGTAAAGTCACGTAGGTAATTTTTTTAATTAAAATTAATAAATGTAAAATAAAATAATATAATAATATAATATAATACGTGACTTTACCGAAAAAACTCAAGAATATAATCGTCACTGGTGATGGTCGTGAGCGGGAATCGAACTCGGGCCGCCGGATTCATAGCGCAGCGCGCTGACCGCTGCACCACACTGACCGCTGCACCACACTGACCGCTGCACCACACTGACCGCTGCACCACACTGACCGCTGCACCACCCGCACATACAAACACCCCCACGCATGGAGACACACGACAACAACAGCTGCTATCCTCCACGACGTGACGGTGGTGATGTCACCACAGGGCTCGTGCCAGGATAAGTGCACTTTGAGGTTACGGGGTGAAGTGTGGAAGGCTAGCTGCTGGTAGGAGGTCATGGGACAGACCCAGGTGCCGTGGGTGGACTGACGGAGTGGACTGGCAGACGGCACCACCACCTGTGGTACCCACTGTGCCAGCTACACATATACAGACAAGGTTCCCCGTGTAGCCTACGCAGACTTTTGGGGCAAGTGCTGGCACTGCACCTCACACAAATACAGACATGCATGCAAACCCACACTGGATATACCATTACATGCACATTCATTTTCCTAGGCTGAATGCATATACTGTACATCGTTTACATTGTGTATGTATATGCGTGTGTGTAAATGGCCTGTGGGAAGCAGCAATGAGTTATTGGTGCGGCGTGTAAACATCAGCACTGGGGAGACAAAGACGGCCGGACGTGGTGCTGGGCACCCTCCTGTGCCGTGCAAAAACAACTCCCTACCTCCTCGTTGGTGCCAGACGGCAACGCTGTGGTGGGCAGTGCCGTGGGGGGAGCGCCAATTTACATTGGCCATTCCCCTCATGGCGTTTGTAACCAACCCAGTGGCTAAATGGGGGCTCTGGACAGGTGCGAGGGGCTGGTAACCCCTCCACCTTTAATTAATTACCACCAACCCACAATACAAATTTACTAATAAGTTTGTGCCGGAGGCCCCGGGGGGACAGGCATCTGACGTCTCCTAGCCAAACCCCATTTGGCGGAGCCAGGAGACTGAATCCTTATCCTCGGGGCTCCTCCAGAAACAACAAAAAACCACTACGGGTGGCCACGTGGAATGTTCAAATGCTCACTGCGGAGGAGAGGCTGCCACTCCTCTGTCGGGAGCTGGACCGGTGCCGCCTGGATCTCTGTGGTATTCAGGAAATCCCGGGGACCGGCTCTGGCTCCTGCCACCATGAGGGGTGGACAGTCCTCTACTCGGGGCAGAAGACTGCCAAACAACAGAAGTGGCTCTTCTTCTGAACAAAATAATGAAGGGGGCGTGGGAGTGTGGCAGTGTGGCAGTGAGGTGTGGGAAGCTGTAAGCCCCAGGCTACTTTGGGTTCGCCTTCCCATCAACCAGAGACGAGGAGTGGTGGTTATGGTTACTTATGCCCCCACCGAAGACGAACATCCATGGAGAGATGCAGGCAAGGCCGATGTGTCAGATGCCTTCTATGACCTGTCACAGGTGCTAGCTAAAATGGCCCCTCAGGATAGAGTCATCTTGTTAGGTGACTTCAATGCCCGAGTTGGTCATGCTTCTAGCACCTGGTCTGGAGTGATTGGAAGGCATGGGCCAGATCAGCTCAATAATAACGGCAGGAGGCTGCTAGATTTTTGTGCAGCCCATGGGCTTGTAATTACCAACACGCTGTTCCGGCATCGACGCATCCACACAACATCATGGATGCATGCCAGGTCCGAGCAAGAACATCTGTTGGACTACATAGTGATGGAACAGTGGATGCGGGCCCATGTCTTTGACACCAGGACCTGCCGTGTACCTGAGCTGCCAACTGACCATAGACTTGTCAGCTGTAAGATGCGCCTGCATCTTCCACTCCGGTGGTGGGTGTACACCCTGGACCTCATTCAAACCCATAATGGCATGGTCTCAGCTAGCTGATGAAAGATTGCAAGCAAGAATTTCATTATCGCTTGCAGCTGGGGTTGGAATCGTCCCCCACTCCTGATGTCGAGGGGAAATGGGCGAGGTTTAGGACTGTGGCTCATACAGCTGCAATGGCTGCTTTTGGTACATGGTTGAGACCTCCCCAGAGACCCTGGCTGACAGAGGAGGTGTCCAGGCTGGCTAAGAAAAAGCGACAGGCCCACTCTCATCGGCTACAGCGTCCTACGTCGGAGGATGAGGATGCTTACCGCAGCCTTCGCTCAGAGGTTCGGAGAGCCTTGAGGCGCTGCAAGGATAGGTGGTGCTCGTGGGTTGCTGAGGAGATGGAGTCTGCCTCAATGGCCCGCGATCACAAATCGCTCTTTAACTCAATAAAAAAAGTAACCTGCAGCGCCACACCTATTACCATAATTAGGAGAAAGAACTGTTATCCAATCTCTGACCCCCAGGAACAGGTTTGCAGATTTGCTGAGCATTTCTGTGTGGTCCTGGGGGAGTGGAAATCCCACAGCCTGGAAAACGTGGGACAAAGTGGGGATGACCCTGTTGAGGCTGCGGTGCCTAAAATATTGGAAGAAGTCACCCCCTGTGAGTGGCTGGCTAAGGTGCCATCTGTTGAGGAAGTACTGAAGGCGATTCGGAGTCTGAGACCAGGAAAGGCACCGGGGAGAGATGATCTCCAAAGCGAAATGCTGCAGGAGAGTGGCGTCTGTGGACAGACATAATAACAACAGTCTGGACCACTGGACGGGTTCCGCAGGATTGGAAGGATGCCCTGGTGGTCGCCCTCTTTAAGAAGGGGGACCACACAGACTGGAACAACTACAGGGGCATCTCACTCCTCAGTGTGCCGGGAAAGGTCCTGGCAAGGATTACTCAACATCGCCTTGCTAGGCACGCCGAGGAGAGGCTTGCGGAGCTCCAATGCGGTTTCAGAAAAGGGCAGTCTTGCACAGATGTCCGTCTGCTACAGCAGAGGTGTAGGGAATTCCAACAAGACCTACATATCTGCTTTATTGACATGGTCAAGGCCTATGAGACCATCAGTAGGCCTGGGCTCTGCGTTGTTCTTCGTGCTTTTGGGGTCCCTGACTCTCTGCTCACGATCATTAAGGACCTTCATGATGGTGAGCGGGCCCGGGTAAAACTATGTGGCCGGGAAGCGGAGCCATTCCTTATTCACCTTTGGATGTGACAGGGATGTCCTCTGGCTCCCACATTATTTAACATCTATTTTGACCACGTAGTTTGTGAAGCCTTTAATAGCTGTACCGGAGGAATTTCCATCTGGTACAGATACAATGGGAGGCTGATCGATGCCCGGGTGCGGTCAAGGGATGGCTCCCTAGTGCTCAACCACGTTATGTATGCCGATGATCTGGTAATTGCTGCTCACTCAGAGGAGGAGTTGGAGGCGCTGCTGCTGAACCTGGAGCTTGCCACGAAAAGGTGGAGCCTTACCATAAGCCCCACTAAAACTAAGCACCTGCCTGGGTATTTTCTACCATCGCACACTCCACCCCCACAACTCCCAATTGGTGATAGGGCAGTTGTGGAGAGAGTGGAGAGTTTCCCATACCTGAGCAGTGTGCTCATGACCGGCTCGAGTTTAACAGCAGAAGTCTCACTCCGAATCAGTCGAGCGGCATTATCTTTTCATCAGTTGCGTAACGCTGTGTGGAAGCTACATGGTGTGACGCTCCGCGCGAAGCTTCAGGTATTCTTGGCCACCGTCATTCCCTCCCTTATCTACGCTTGCGAAACGTGGACCCCCCTAAAAGAAGAGATGGAGTGATGTGGTACAGGAGGATGTGGAGCTGAGTTGACTTGCCGATGACTGGTACCAGCGGTGTCAAGATCGGCCTCTGTGGAGGAGGCCCTTGAAGGACGCTACTGGGCAGTTGGAGGCAGTCACCCTCCAACAACAACGGAGGGCAGAGGAGCGACGCTCATAACAACGAGCGGAGCGCCGGGTGGCTAAAGCACAGAAAGTTGGCACAATAGGGGGCACAGGTGGTGCATCGGCCAGTCATCTCAGTCGACCCGTGGCACCGGCTGGATTTGCCCCGTGACCTCCTGCCAGCGGGCGTTCGACACTTCATGTCGGCTCAACATGCACATAGCCTGGCACAAGCGCCATGGTGACGTCACCGCCACTTAGTGGCGAATGGCGGTTGTTGTTGTGCCGTGCCGGCCTTCATAGGTGCTCGCTCACAGCCCTTGCGCCCAACAGTTTGTTAAAGGCTATACGGGGGTCTTGCCCTTGTTTGTCTGTGGCTTAGAAAAGCAATGAGGATACATTTTTAATATTATGTAATAATGTTTAGTTCAAAAGCACACACGAATACGCTGTGTATCATGTGTGTATGTGCAGTTGCCCCAAGAGTCTGTTAAAGGTTTTTTGGGGGGGGGGGATCTTTGTCTTTTGTGTATGGCCAAAAACATGAATGAAAACGTGACGAAGCTTTTCATTGGTTGCAACATCCAAACACCACCTGCGCGTACAGATCTTTTAAAACGTCACGTGATAGGTGTCGCGGAAGTTGAATACCTGGCTCTGAACCCATTGATTCTCACCCATCCGTGCGTGTCTTCTTGTCTATGGCCACGCGGGAGCCACCGCGGCGAAAGGTCGATGACAAAAACCGCGTACGGCTCTTTCTCAATCCACTGCTGCAAGACAGCCTCCCCCCTGTGCCGTGCTGGTATCGGCAGGGGGGTTATACGACCACACTTCACACTGCTCGTCAACGTTATTTTGGTTTAACACGTCGGCTTTCGCGACCAATATCCATAAAAGAGGTTTTTGGGTTAGATTGCGTTCATATGAATGTTTAGTTAAACCTGACACCACCCGACACAGCTAATTAGTAAGATTTGTCACGTAAACAAAACATGGCAATTATTTACGAGTACAGCACACTGGTTGTGTTGGAGAGTAAACCCACAACATTTACGACGCGTTTTTATTTTTTTACGACAGATTTATATTTACGCGATCCAACCCAAAAACCTCGATTATGGAAGGTTATTTTGTTTAACCGGGTGAGAATTCGCGAGGCCAGAACAGCCTTCTCATCGGCACGAGTGACCTGGGGTGTCACGTCTGCCAGTAGGTGGGGTAGGGGGGGGTGATGACTGCTGTTGGTGTGTTTGTGTGAGCCCAATCGAGTAATTTGCGATGTAATTTTTGGAATGTGGAAAATTTGCAGTGAGGGTCGCTCAAGGCGTGGTGCATGGACATATTACAGCATTGTAGAGTGCAACAATAGATTTTTCTGCACTTCCTTCAGCTGACAAACATAGCACCACAGCAGCCGACAACAACCTGTTTTGTAGATGGCGTTCGCCCATTCAAGTATAGTCCGGGCTGAGACCTGCTTTAGCTTCGGAGACACTGCGCATTTGCGGGTGGTTTTGAGCAGAAGCGGCTACCATAAAATCACTCGTAAAGGGAAAGTCGTAAAATGCATTTTACTTACTACTGATTGATTCAAGAAAGCCACACTGAGTCGTATATGACTCTTTTTCAAGAGGGCCCCTGCTATACTGGGTTTTATTTTTAGATATTTTCAGCCAATCTATGATGAGTATTTATTATAGAAGTGGGAGGAAAACGGAGCATCCTGAGAAAATGTATGCATGCCAGGGGGCAACACTCTATCCCCGTACAGACGAAAACTAAAACTAACGTTTTTTTTATTTTAGCAGGTCAGGCCAACAGAGACATATAGTTGTTTTTCAGCAGCAACCTGGCCACAAATGATAGCTCAACAAAATGCCTCATCACGTGGAAATTTATAGCAGCCAAAACTCTAAATGCATATTGATTCTAAATGTGGAAGGAAAAACCAGAGGACCCGGAAAAAATTCCACTCGACCTCAGGGAGAACGCGCAAACTCGAAATATACAGACATCTGTAAGAGGCAGTTTAAAATCACATACAATCGTACACTCACGTTGGCCAGGCATCGAGCCCAGCCGCCAATTAAACACCCATCACCGAGCGCGAGTTTCCAAACGCGAGAGAGGAGGGGGAGTGCGACGGGCATCGTACTTGGAAAGAATTGGTTTGCACGCCTGCACCGCTTACCGTCTCCGAGTCTGGCGACTGGCCGTGGGGCGGCAATCGGCTCCCGCTGTGCGCCGCCTGTTCCGCCCTCCTCTCCCCGTCCAGCGCGGCCACCCCCGGCGCCGGCAGCCAGGAGTGATTCGTCGGGAACTCATCGCCGATCGCCGTCACCGACAGCAGCTTCGGGTGACCATCATGATCCCTCCTCGCCCGTCTCGACAACGCCGACTGCGGCGCTGGCGGGGCCGACGAGCCCCCCCCCGCGACACCGGCGGCGCTGGCCTCGGCCAGCTGGACTTTGCTCTGCACCGCCTTCTTGAGCTTCATCACGGCCAGGTCGGTGTCCTTCAGCTTGATCTCCGTCACCGACTCCTCGCCGCCGCCGCCACCGCCGCTGCCGCCAATCTTGATGATGCGCAGGCCACTGAAAATGTTCGGCAGGCGCGACAGGAAGCTGTGCGAGTCCGGCTCTGGCTGGGATTTTTTGTCGGTGTCGTCGTCGCCGCCGCCGCCGGGGCTGGTGAGAACGGGCGACGTTTTCCGAAAGACGAGGTCGGGCATCGACTTGTTGGTGGCGCCGCCGGTGCCCATGCTCAAGCTGTCCGGCCGCGGCAGCGAGGCGCTCGTGTCCGCACGCGGTCTCGCGTGGACGTAGCCCTGGTGCACCGGGGATGCCAGGCCGGGTGACGAGTCCGAGTAGCCGCCCTCGCTTAAGGACACGCTCGACGCCGACCCCAGCGCCGCCGGTGAAGACGAACGCGACCTCTCGCCGTCGGACTCGGCGGGCCCGGCCGCATCGGTCTCGGTGGGCCCGGCCGCATCGGTCTCACGGGCATCGCCGCTCACCACATTCGTTTCCAGACAATCCCCGGCTGGTGCACCACTGGAACGGCGCGAGCCGTTGGCCGGAACTGGATCGGCGTGCCGCGTTCCGTTGCTCGGCTCGTCGGACGGAGGCCGAGCGCTCGGCGGGGTCGAGTCGACCGCAGGTGAATCAGTGACGACGGAAGCGGCAGCGGCCGCATCAGCTGCGACCGCCGGCGCGGGGGGGCCGCCACCACCCGCTGTTTCGTCAGCGGCGCAGGAAGGGGGAGCCTCTCGGCTCGTTTCGTCTGCATCGATGAATTCGAGCTGCTCCGGAGGATCAAACGGCCGATCGGCGATGGTGGGGGTGGCCGTGGCGACGTCGCTCTCCCTGTCGGCGTCGCTCTCCCTGCCGGCGTCGCTGTCCGTCTCGCCCCTATCAGACGACGGCGTTGCCAGTTGGCTCTCCACCCCGGAGTCATCCTCATTGTCGTCACCATCCTCGCCCACAACTTTGTCCAAAATCGCAGGCACCACCTCGCTCTGAGTCACCCGGGGATCGGGGTTGCGTTCGCGGTCATCACCGGCCGGTGGCTCCGGCTGTGACACCGCGTTGTCCCGCTGTGCATCACAACCGTGACTGCTGTTTATATTGCCCACATCCACCCCAGCCGCAACATCCCCATGGTCATCCCCGTCAGCCAAGTGAGCATCCACCTCCACGCCCGGTGTCTGAACGGTGGACTCGGCGAGCACCGATGCTCCCCTCCCGTCGGTCTCCGTTTCAACCACCACCGTCACATCCGTCTCTTTCACGCCGTCGCCGTCGCCGTCGCCGTCGCCGGCCGCGATCATCGGCACCTTCGCGATAGGAATGGGTCCTGGGACGGCCCTCCCGAAGAGTGCCAGCATGCCGAAGCGCTTGCTCAGAAACGTGAGCACGGACTCCTGTGGCTCCGGGTCGGCGACCTCGGATGCCGACTCCGGCTCCGGGTGGCCGGCGCCAGGTCGTAACGCATCGGCCTCCGTGCAGGTGCGGCGTGCCTCCTCGCCCGACTCCGCTCCCGACTCCTCTCCTCCCGCGGACGCTGCGCCTGTCGCACGACGGCACAAAGTGGCGTGGGCGTCATCACGTGCGCCGCAATGCGAGGGGGTGGTGGTGGTGGTGGGGAGGGGGGGGTTTCAGTTTGCGTAGCCAAGACGGAGCGAGCGGTACTTGTGTATACGCAGCGCAGCCGCCTCCGCCACCGTTCTCGAGTGACACATTCAAAGGGGCCTCGCATAACTCGCGCAGTCCATTGCTCGACAGTCGGGACACGGGCTGGGCTATTTTTGTAAAGCTTACATTGTCTGGAAATTCGTCACGGAGCCGTTTAAAAACAGAAACACCTTGAACAGCCGCGTTCATTCAACGGAGGTGAACTTCGTGTTCGGGGCGGGGGGGAAACTAAACGTTAAAGACACTCCAACCAAAACATTTAAGATTTAAGAGGTTTTGTTGAGACCATTGGACTGATAGCAGCTGATTCATCGACTCGTTACGATCGCGGCGTCATCGTTGTCGAAGCCGTTGGTGCCACCGCCGCCGCTCCTCCTCCTCCTCCTTGCTACCTGTCACGTTCTCCCCTCCGCCAGCTCCCGCAGCTGCTGTTTCTGGGTCGACACGTGGTCTCATCCTATCATCTCTATCCAGCCGTGGGTCTCGTGTCGTATATAATTCGTTTAGCCTCCCGGTTTTACAAGCAGTGGTTTATTCTCTTTACTCAGCCCGGTGATGGAGGAGTCGTGGGAGTGACAGCCCCCTCTCCCATCGCTCGAGCGGTCGAGCTTTTACCAACCAGAGCATTAACGACTCCACTGCTTGCCGGAGGTTAGGACTCATGGGGACAAAGTGCAAACTGCGCCCAAATTTTAGCCGCTCACACGGGCCCATAGAATGCTATTTGCGTATTGGTTGTTGCCGGATGTCTGGGTTCATCTGGGTCAGCAACCCAGGAAATGCACCCCCACCCAGCACACCACGTCCAGCATACCTCTCGCTACGGCCATGGCTACTACGAGTCAGGTGCCACCTACTCCAGTTTACCAGCGACCTGGAAAAATATCCACACCTCGGACCACCACATCTAGTATACAACCTCTCGCCACAGCTATGGCTACGAGTCAAGTACCACCTCCATTTGGCAGCGACAAGGAAAGAAAAAATTGTCGAGAAATTTCGCCGAGCACCTGGCCACGAGCCCTTGACTTGAGGCCCCTTCCGTGGTCGTTGTGCCACTTTCCTCCCTCTGCCCTTTGACCTCCTCGCGACTTGGCTCACCTGAACCGCAGCCGCTGGCTCGTCAACAACGCTGGACCCTGCTACCGGTCGAGCGAATTGACGACGCGAGACTGAACAGACGTGGCCACTTACCACTGTGGCTACGCAGTGCTGGAGAGTTTCAAGAGCACAAAGCCCGGCTGAAAAATATTTTTGCACTGCACAATAAGAAAAATTAACCCGTAAAAACAAAGTTTTTCACTCTAAATCCTTTATATGCGTGGCGGCTAGAGTCCTCTCGTCCTCTGGCTCGAGATGGCTGCCACCTATGGGTCAGATGATTGTCTGCCAGCATTAAGAAATTGGTAATTAAATATTTTAAAAATTTCCCTAAACAGTGTAAAATTTTGGAGAAAAATTTTTCACGAAAATTAATTGTCACGCACAACGAGTCTGTGTGGAAAATGTCAGCTCGATTGGATCACGGGAAGTGTGTTAAAAAACGACCGAAAGATTTGCACGGTCGTAAGCAAGCAAGCACGCAAGCACGCAAGCAAGCGAACTTAATATAAAGGATTTAAAAAGTAATCAAGGCAGAACATTTTTTTTCTTAATTGATGCAAATGTAAACGAGACGAAACTGTTGCATCAAATCACAGCGCTTAATTACCACAATTAATATCACCAGTTGGAGCGGGGGGGGGCTTGCTGAATCGATACAAGGTGAATAATTAATCAGAAATGCCACTGCAATCTGCTGCCCTGTAGTAACGGTGAACGCGCTGGGCTTTCAATCTCGTGGTCACCCCCCCCCCCCCCCCCGTCTGTGTCCTCCCAGCAATACCAAGACAGAAGCAACCCTAGGTGACCTCAGCAACCAGGACTTTGACCCGTGATATCTCAACTATGCGGCAAGTCCGAAGGGAGTGGGAGGAGAAATATTGTTTGACTCAAAACCCAAAGCAAACGAACAGCAGCGTTTGACGGCGATGATTGTAGACTTGGAGACAGGAGGCAAACCCGAGCCCCGAGAGTTGGGGGCCAGAGGCTTCTTGTAGAAATCTGCATGGTCACCGGGGCGAACATTAAACGCATGGCAAGCGCCGCCGTTGAGCGAAGCTGCAGTATGTAAACAATGGCGAGATCCCCCATGCAGCCTTGGGGAATGCTGCGTCAAGTGCTGTTAGCGAGCACCTATTAAAGCCGGCAAGGCACAAGGTGTTTTTTGGGGGAGGGGAGGGGTCACAAGCATGCCCCGCTGCCTTAGTCGCTCCATTGTAGCCATTTACACACCGCACCAGATACTCATTTGAGGCAGAGTCGGCCTCAAGGAGGCCCCTGAGCGGTTTAAATACTCGCCACGAGTTACTGGTCGTGAGCGGTAATTGAACTCGCGTTCCCGGGTCCGTAGCTCAGTGTGTTATCCGCTACAAAGACAAAGATGCCCCAAAAAGCCTTAACCGACTGTAGGGCCAAGTGCTGTTAGCGAGCACCTATAAAGGCCGGCACGACACACGAGGGGGTGGGTGGCCAACACCACGCCCGGCCACGTTTGTGACGATGTGTGACGACGGGGGGGAGGTTTGAGAAATGTGACATCACATCCAAATGCGCAACTTTAAATAAACAGACAACACGTTTCACTTAATTAAATAGACTCTTTGAAAGATGTTTTCTCCTACAACATCAGAGTGCAGCGCCACATTAAATACGCACTACAATGACAATAGTTTAAAGGAATTTGAAGCGTGTTTTATTTTTTTGGGGAGGGGGCAGAGCTTTGTGACGTCATATTTGAGGGGGGGTCTGACTTTTTGTGACGCCGTGTGACGAGGGGGGGGGGGGTCAAAAATCTCCAATATCGCGTGACGTCATTTATGGACGGCCCCATAGCTGTTGATTATGGTGCTCGTAATGAAGGTACTGGCATTGACGATGTTGATGATGATGCTGGCGTTGATGTTCTGGTGACTGCTATGATGATGACGACAACAACGCCGATGATGTTGACGATGTTGATGCAGCCCTGCCACCCACACGGTCTATACCCGCAGGTGCGCCGGCTTTTTACCTGGCACAGCAACGCACCTGGCTCAGCTGTCTGCCCCCCCCCCCTCTCCCCCTCCCGTGTGTGCGCTCGCATTGAGACGGCGGGTCCCCTAGGGGGGGGGAGCGGAGGAGGAGGACGACCTTCCCCGCAGGTGGCATTGTTTGCCGAGGTGTGGAAAGCGCTCCGCCACCTTCGTAGGTCAAATCACCCGTGATACACCCCGTCCTCGTCACACCCGGGCAAGCTAAAGCAAGGTTGAGTACGGAGAGTGGCTTTTTTTATGGGACACCATCGTATGTATAGGCTGCGAGGGGCTACGTTGTGGGAAATTGGGGGCGGTGCGGCTAAATCACTCGTTGCGCTGCACTTCTATGCCCCCCGCATTCACCCACGCGCACCGACCAGCGGCGAAGTATGGCCAAACAACCGTCAATGACCGACGCGCCGTGCGGGGGAGGGAGGTCTTCATCCAGCAGTGGAGTTACAGAGGGCCGCACGTTAATTAAAATTAGATTCGTGTCTGCACGATGTCTGCACGATTGTTGCATCGCGGGTCCGTGAGAGACGACGAGCAGCTTGTTGGAGGGAGCCCTTCATCCGGCAGTGGATTGACCACGGCCGATAAGTGATACGTCCGCCGTTATTGTTTGTAACTTGAAAGAGCGACGAAACAGAAGTGAGGAATATTGTTGCAAAATCGAGCCGGTCAGATTCTGGAAACGATGACGGATGCACGAGTGTGTCTGTTCAACCGCGAGTTCAATGGGGGCATTTGTGTGCACGTGCGCGTCTCCGGTATGTGTGTGCGTGTATTTGACCACGGGTGTGTTGTGTAAATGTGTGTAACTGTATGCGTGTGTGAAGCGGTGGCGAAATGCGCCATGGACTCGGCAACTGATGATGAAAATATCTGAACTGGTCCTGGGCCTTCCTTAGGTCGACTCAGCCTCAAGTGAGCGCTTGGCGTAGCTCTGGGGAGCGGTGGTGTAGCGGTTAGCGCACTGCACTATGAACCTGATGACCAGGTTCCATTCCCGCTCACGGCCAACACCGGTGACGATTATCTGAACCGGTCATGGGCCTCCCCTAGATCGACTCAGCCTAAAATGAGTACCTGGTGTGGTGTGTAAACATCGCTACTGGGGAGACGAAGGCGGCCGGGCGTGGATGCTGGCCACCCACCGCCTCGTGTGTCGTGCCGACCTTTATCAGTTCTCGCTGACAGCACTTGCCACAACAGCCTGTTAAGGCTACACGGGGGATCTTTGTCTTTGAACTCAAACACACACACACGCACGCGCGCGCGCGCAATCACCCAAAGCCGTTAGCAGCAGTGTCCAGTAACCCCGTAGGAGGAGAAGGAAAGTCCTTGTTCAACTCGGGGCTCCGGACCGCGTCTCGCAATCACCAATTACTACCCCCCGCGTCATCACGCACCACGAATTCCACCCCCCCGCCCCCACCTCCCCCCCGCCCCCAGCTCCACCACACGCAGTAAATGCTCCACGTTGTGTCCCGCCGGGCTCTGAGTCTCAACCCCCCCTCCCACGCCTCGCGTGAATCATTACCCCCCCTTCCCTCCCCGCAGTGTGAGAGTGCGGTGTGAGTGTGAGCTCACACGAACGCTCGTAAACGCACAACGGAGTGTGTCTGCTACGCCACAAACGAGCCACGCTGTCCACCTGCTGTTTACAACCCCGCAGAGCCGGTGGTGGGAAATTCCACGTTCCTATGGCGGGGCGGAGTTCGGGTGGGTGGGTGAGGTAAGGTGATCGAGCGGTACA